TAAGCCGCGCGTTGCTACGCGTTGCGTGCTTTTGTGAGATTCGCGAGCGAGGCGCGCACCCGGCGGGGCGGGGAGGGGCCAGGAGGGGCCAGGAGGGGCCAGGAGGGGCTCCGCGGTGAGCGAAAGGCGTGCGTTTGTTATTGTTGTTATCGCCACTTTGTTGACCGCGGCACCCTGCGGTGCAGGTTCGACGGCCGCGGGTCGCTATCTCGCTCCGCGCCCCCGCATTGCCGCATTGCCGCGCGTTGCGTTTATCGGCCGTGGGTGGCCGAATCTGGTTCATGGAAAGGATCAAAGACGATGCGCTCGACGACGTGGAGCGCGGCAGCGCGGCCGGGGCGGTCACGGCCAGACGTCTTCTGTTGTCGCGGGGTGGAGGCGAGAAAATAACAGTCCAAGTCGCAGCCTTGAGGCAGCGTCCGATCTACAAATCGATCTGAAAGTCTAAGCGAAATAAAAACAAAGCGGCGCTGTTCGTGCGGCGGACGCTAAGCGGACGCAAAGCGGACGCGCACCGCTACTCCGTGCGCGTGCACGCGCGGGGGCAGCGAGGGCCGCCAACGCCACCATCATCGACGGCAGTCCGACGGCAGTCCGATCCCAAACGGCGATCGGCCGCCGCTGTCTCTCTCGCACCCCTACGGCAGGCCGGCACGCCCCGTGAGTGCGAGAGAGACGGGGCAGTCCGACGAACGCACTGTTCGGAATCAGCCTGCAGGCGCGTGCGCGCGTGCCTCACGCACGCGGAGCACCGCGTCCGGCCATCGGGCGGGGCCCGCCCCGCCCCGCCCCGCCCCGCCCCGCCCCGCCACGCCCCACCACGCCCCGCCCCGCAACGCCCATTCATCCCGTTGTTCGCAAAAACAGACAGGGCGCACACTGCTAAAGCGTGTCCGGTCGGTTGCCTACCTCGCCGGCGGATTGGCCAGTGAGGCTGGGTGACGAAAGCTCTGCGTTCGGAACCAACCTGGGGCTGGGGCTGGTCTGGTCTTGAGGGTCGCCTACTTTGGCGGCTGCTGGGCTGAGCCGCTGCTCCGCTGCTCCGCTTCATCGGCCGTTACATCAGAGCCGCTTTTGAGGCTCAATTAGAAAACAAGCGTGCCCCCTCCCCCTTCCCCTCCTGGACGGGCCCTCGCGGGTCACAGGCACCGGACGCCGCAGACACGCCACGCATCGTCGCTCGGTCCCTGCCCCTCGTCGTCCTCCTCCTGGACGATCCAAAACGTCAGTCGACTGGATGGTCGGGATGTCTGGCGGTCCTCGGGCCGGCCCAGAGAAGGAGGCGAAACCGGAACGTTACGCTTTTGTTTGGGTTCGTTTCCCGTCCTTTGTATTTTTCACGTTTCTTACTTCGCGACGCGTGTTTTATGATGACAGAGGTGAGGGAGAGAGACTTGAGACCTCGCTTGCAGTGCCGTTCCAAACAGCGCTTCTTCGCTCTGTCTCTCTCGCACCCCTTTGGCCCGCCCCGTGAGTGCGAGAGGGGCGGAAGGACCGTCCAAACGGCGCCCTTGGCCGTGCCTGGCCGTGCCCGATTGTCGCGCAGTGTCGCGGTGCGTCGCGGTGCGTCTCGAGGTACTCGTCGTCCGGGCGCACAGCGACCGAGTGAGTTGGAGCAGTAAAGCGGGGAAAGTGCTGTCATGCCGCCACGCCACTCGCCGGGCCGGCTTTGATTGAAAGCGATTGAAAGCGAGTAATCCGGAGTAATCAGTGTGGCCGTCCTTGGAGGCGACGCACTCACACACACACACACACACACGCCATCGAGGGGACGGCCACTCCCACACTGCCTTGTCACAGTAGTGCCACCCTCTTGATAATGTGTGTCAACTACGCCAAGGCCGACGGTGTAGTGACGACGGTCTGCGCGCTGCGGGTCCCACACTCGCACACGCGCCACTCTCCACCCCTCTCCGTCTCTCTCTCACACACGCACACACACCGATTGTGTTTACAGAACAGAAGTGCCTGAGGTGGCTAATTGCAGCCCGCTCATCGATTTTATGTAACGCTGTTACACGGTGCCCCGCCGCTGGCGCGGTCGTGCATCCCCTGAGCGGTTTACCGCCAGTTTGGAGCACGCAGAGCACGCCTCTGGGCCGGGCCCAGGCTAGGTGCACTGACTGCACAAGTGGTTGCGACACACTGCGAGCGCCATGCCCCCAATTACCAATTACCCGGGCCGAGGCACGGCGAGGCACGGCCGAGGCTTTGTTCGTAATCACGGCGATAGATAGCGCCACGGGCCCGGCGCCCTGGCGGTCCTCGATGAACCAGCGATGCAGCGAACTAGGTAACGGGGGCAGTGACGGCGGCAGAGAGGCCCGCCCCGCCCCGCCGGGGTTCACGGCTGTCCCCATCGCCCCCATCGCGCCGCCCCCGCGCCGCCCCCGCGCCGCCCCCGCGCGGCCCCCGCGCCGCCCCCGCGCGTGGCGGCGACAGCAGGCTGCCTCCGAGCGGCGCTCTCGTCGCTCTGTCTCTCTCACACGCGGGGGCCGTGCGGTGGGGGTGCGAGGGAGCGAGAGCACTGTTCGCCACCAGCCTGCCGGCTTTGTTTGGCTCGCTAATTACCAACTTATCGCACAACGCCTCGATGCATGGCACGCCATGGCACGCCAGGGCACGCCGCCCACGGCCTCGCCGAGGCCTCGCCGACGCGTCCGCCAAAATGAGCGATACCCGCCATCGACTTTGCCTTCGATTGTGCCCAAAAGTGGTTTTCTTTTTGGCGCCCACACAAATAGCTGGTCGGCCTGGATTTGGCACGGGTCGGGTCGCGGAGCGTTTTGGCCGCCGGTCGGTGGATGCGTCTTTGTCTTATTCGGCGTGCCGGGCGGACTCGTTGGACGTGTCTGGCTCTGCGTCTTATCGCCACGTTCTGTTTCCATCGGCCATCTCTGGGAACGGCCAAGCGCGGCACGCGGCCCGGCTGGGGCGTCTCGCTGGACGGTGACACACTGTGACACCCCCAGACACCCCACGACCTGCCCTAGACTCCAGTGCAGTGGCGGCGTCATGGCCTCTCGCTGTCTTTCTCCTTAGGCGCGCGAAAGCGATGGAGCACGGATCGGGATCCGTCTGCCGCAGCTGACTATTTTTTTTTTTTTTCATTTTTGCGCTGGCTCATTGAGGCGTATCCCCGGGGCGGCATCACGCTCGGCGGAAGTCCAAATCCAAAGTGTTGCACTGCACCTCCGCTGCACTCCGCCTTGACCGCGTTCTCCGGGCACCGCGGCACCGCGGCACTACGCCACTGCGGGCGAGTGTCAAGTCCGCTGCCCGCGTCACGCCATAAGCGCCACGCACTGCGTCACTGCAGAGCGATCGCGCCCCGGGATTCGCGTCGCTCTGTCTCTCTCGCACCCCTACGGCTCGCCCCATGAGCGCGAGAGAGACAGAGCGACGATAGCACGGTTGAGTCCGGTGCGTTGGCGAGGCTCTCCAGGGCGGCTCACTGCGGTGCGCTGCGGTGCCGGAAGCAGGCTCACTGACGCCCTGCATGTCCTTGGCACTGCACCTTGGCGGCGTGCGGCGTTCCGGGGTGTCCCGGCTGACTAGTGGCCGGCCTCCCTCGGCGCCCAAACGCCGCGCCGCCGCCGCCTGGCCCTCGACCTGGCCGGTCTTGGGCGTCTCGAGGAATGGCCAACCTTGGGGACGTGCGCGTACGTCAGCCGCGTCAGCGCAGTGCAGGGTGTCCTCTGTCCGGGCGAGGCAGGCGGCAGGCTGTAGTGGTCGCGCATCGCGCCGCGCCGCCAACACGCGCGCCCTTGTTTCACAGTGCAGGCGTCCGCGGAATCGGGCCAATCACAGGCAGGGGCGGAGAAAGGGGAAAACGGCGGCAAAGGCGAAACTAGCCGCGAAGCCGCGCACGTAGCGCTAGTAGTCCAGTGTAGTGTAGGTCCCCGAGTGCGAGAGAGACAGAGCGGCAGGGCATTCCGCGCCACAAGGCCCACTCGGCCCACTCCACTCGCAGCCACGCCGAGGGCCGGCCGGCCAAATTCCATCACGCACCCCAAGCCAAGGCGAAGGCGAGCCTCGCAAGGCGCAGAGGCACAGAGCAACGCGCGTCAAAACGTAACACGTCGCCGGCCTCAAAACACAGTGCGGGGAGGCTGAGGCTGGACGAGGCAAAGGTGATGCCCGCCCCCCGCGGTGCGACCGGGACCCAGCCTGAGCCTCAAGCTGAACCTGGACAGCCTGGACCACCGGGCCAGCGGGCCTGGAGATGTACCAACTTTTCCTTCCCGCCGCGACAATGGAAATGGACGGCTTGTTTACGCCGTACGACGCACGACGGCGGCCTCGGGACAGGACGACACCCCTCGCCGGATCCGGGTCAACCCGTCCTGCGTCCTCCGCGCCGCCGGCTTGACCGGAGAAACGGATTCTGAGGGCGGCGGCCCCGGAGTCCGGAGTCGGCCTTATTGCGCCGACGTCGACGTCCCGAGGCTAATGTACCCGCCCCTCGTGAGGAAGCTGAACCAGTGGCCGCACCGTCCCCGAGGATGACGAGGAAGCGGTGCGAATTTGGCGCGCTTTGCCGCTTCCCGTACGTCAGTACGTCGGCATGCAAATGCGGAGTGCGGTGCGCGCGCTGCGGCGGTGCGGCACCGAGTCCAGTTTGATTTGTTGGTCTGGCAGTCTGGTCGTCTCGCCGCGACCTCGCCTCACTGCGCGTACCTGCAGATCGCTTCGCCGCTGTCTCGCTCGCACCCCTACGGACCGCGCCATGGGTGCGACAGAGACAGAGCGACGGCGCGATCCTTCGGAAGCAGGTGGCTGTTGTACGCGCGCCCCGCCGGCCCCGCCCCTATCCCTTCCTGGGCTGCGGGCCAAAACACGGCCGGCGGCGTGAGGGCGAGGACGCGAGGACGCGTTGACGTTGCACCGCACCGTGTCGCACTCGATGTCCTTCCCCGGCCCTTCCTCGTCCTCGTCTTCCTTCCGGAGTGTGGAGTGGACCCGGCTCTCGTTGACACGCGTATTCTCCTTCTCCGCAGCAAACCGTGCTGGACAGCATCCACGCCGACGACCCCTCGTTCACCGGCAAGGGCTACACCAGCCTGGCCGTCATCTACGCCGTGTTCGCCGTGTGCAACTGGGCAGCGCCCTCCATCATCTCCGTCATCGGGCCGCGCGCCGCCATCTGCCTGGGCGCCGTCACCTACGGGTAAGGCAGGGACACTGGGACAGGCTGGAGGGATCGAAGGGAAGTCCAGGGCAGCGCAGCGCTACAGCCGCTACAGCGTGGGGACGTTTGTCTGCCCGCAGCTTCTTCATCGCCACGTTCCTGTACCCGTCGACATGGCTGCTGTACGCCAGCTCGGCCGTCATCGGCTTCGGCGCGGCCGTCATCTGGACCGGCCAGGGCAGCTACCTCACGCTCAACTCCACCAAGGAGACCATCTCGAGGAACTCGGGCGTGTTCTGGGCCATGCTGCAGTGCAGCATGTTCTTCGGCAACATCTTCGTCACCTTCATGTTCCAGGGGAAGACCCACATTGACGAGCCCACCAGGAGACTCGTGTTCTCAGTTCTTGTAAGCCTTCCCGATTCCTGACTAAAATTTCAATCTGGCCACACAAACAAACAGTGTCTCCGAATTTGCGAGGGTTTTAATTTGTGAGGCCATTGACCTGGATCTGCGTTTCTTCGTGTTGCAGCTAGGAGTGGCAGCGCTCGGCTTCGTTTTCGTCCTGCTGCTTCGGCCCGCAGTCCAGACTGTGGAAATGGAGAAGAGGGACAAATCCACGACCGGACCCATGTACGCGCTCAAGCGAGCAGGTCACCTTAGTCTCACCAAGAACATGGCCTTGCTCAGCGTCACCTTTTTCTACACTGGTAACGGTTGCGAGTAATTTTTTATTCGTCATTATATTAATTTAAGTCTAAACACCCCATTGTTTTCTTCTAGGTTTGGAGTTGTCTTTCTTCAGTGGTGTGTACAGCCCAAGCATTGGATTTACAAAGCAGATGGGGGAAAACGCTAAGCAGTTGGTTGGACTCTCAGGCATTTTCATTGGTCTTGGAGAAGTAATTGGTTAGTACTTGGTCTCAATTATGACATGCAAAATGTTGTTGTTCTGATTTCTAACTTTAAAAAAAAATTCCTCTTTAGGTGGCGCTTTATTTGGTCTTCTGGGACGACGTACTACCCGCTCAGGTCGAGATCCCATTGTCATCATGGGTTTCCTCATCCATGCTGCTAGCTTTTTCCTCATCTTTTTGAACCTCCCTAATAACGCCAACTTAGGGGACACATCAGATGATGCCTATATCACATCTAAGTAAATATTGGCCCATAATGGAGAACAAAACTTGCAAAAAAAAATTATGTTTCACATGAATTCTGTGTATTCTTTTTTTGCAGTCAATATGTGGCTCTGCTGTGCAGCTTTCTGTTAGGCTTTGGCGATAGCTGTTTCAACACTCAGATTTTCTCCATCCTTGGTGGACTCTATCCCGAAGACAGTGCACCCGTATTTGCACTGTTCAAGTTTACTCAGGTAAAGTAATACTTTCTTGTTATTACATTACGTAATTTTGTCACCTTTGATTGATCGTTTGCATTTTGAACTTTCCTCTTTTCAGTCCGTATCTGCCGCCATCAGCTTCTTCTACAGTACATTACTAGGGTTGTATGTTCAACTTGGTATTTTAGTTGTTAGTGGAACAGTTGGAACAGTTACTTTCTGCCTTGTTGAGTGGTCTGAGCGTTACAACAAGAAATCTGAGTCTCCTATCAACAGCGAGAGCAGTGATCCAGACAATATTTCTCCCAGAACTCCTGCTCTCCCTCATGACTAGGACAAACGTATATTCTGAAAATTTCATTCCATTCTGAAAATTTCATTCCATTTAGATTAAGTTCCCAGTGTAGCCAAGTGACTTCCTGTAGAAAAAACAGAAGTTTTTTTTTTTACATATAGAGTTTACTTCCTGAATTAAGATATTTTGTTAAGGGCCCCTTCAAGGGGCCACTGTTATGAGTTGCCAATACATCAATGTGAATTTTCAATTCAGAGACTGTAAAGCATCACAGTGCAAAATATGCATCAAACAAGCATAAAATTTTGTGATAGAGTGGGTTGTTTAATATTGCACACTTCAGAGATGTTTTTCTCTGGAAATTTCATCTGTTCTCTCCTATGGTAGAGTCAACAATGAGCATACTTTAACAAAATCTTGTCATTTTCTTTTTACTTGAAACACTGTTGAAGATCATTCTGGTGTTGAAGTGATTTTGTCTTTGTTGAAACTTAAGATATCAAGTGATAAGAGTTGACATCTTTCCTGCCATACCTCACTCAGAAGATTGGTTGGGGTTGTGTTGTAATCTTTAGATCTCATTTGTTTAAAGGAAACCCTGTTTATGTATATTTATATGTAGGATGAACTGTTTTTTAAACTGTTAAATCTATTGTTAGTTTACATTTATTACTGTAAATATTTTAATCTGAATTATGAACTGTTATCATCATGTAGCATGGATATTGATTTTTTGAGATATCTTGAATTTAGTGTTTTACATAAATTAGTGTTAATGGATTTTTAGGGTGGATGTTTTTAAGACCCTGACTGCTAATTAGGAGAAAGTAGACTATAATGTTAGAAAGATTAAGCAATAGTTACCTGTTAAAATATTTGGTTAATGCAGTGTGCCAATGATGTCGCATTTTTTGCTCTGCCTGACCTGTTGTTACAATTCCCGATCAAAGTCTTCCAATGATCACCAAATTCCTTGTTTTTTCATTCCATAAATTCCAAAACTTGTGCCAATGTTAAAATAACTGCCTTCCCTATGCCCTCAGGTCCAATTCTAATTACTCCAATAGATGCAAACGGCCCACTGTTTCTTAAAGTATAAGAATCTTTTCTGGAAAAATCATTTCCTACTGTGATATTGGTATGGGGAATCCAAATTCTGGGCTGTCAAATAAGATAGGAAAATCCATGACAGTGGTACTCCTCTAAGTAAATCTGTCTGAAGCAGAATACTGAACTATTTCAGTCTGACTTTTGGGACAGAGCTGGACTTATGTACTGAGAGTTTCTTTGAATAGACCAATCTAGTCACTGTTATAATTTTTCTTGACAAAAAGTCTCATATCATATCCATATTTGCCTTTTAATGAGGTGTACTTTGCGAACATTTCCTTTGCCTAAAATGAACTTATTTATTGACTCATAGCACAAGAACATTTTAAAAAATTCCCCAAGCTGGGTATGAAAGGAATGATAAGGCCACAATAAGTATGGCACTTTCTTATCAGCTACATAGAATCTAATCAGAAGTAAGTAGACACATAATGGGAGAGCAACTTATTTGAACTGAAAAGGGAAAAGAATGGACAGTGACTTCTTGGTTTCCATATTCACTGGTGTCGGAAAATTTGAAAACAAATTCTTACAAGTAAAGATGTATCTTATCTAAATGTTACCAATTACTCCAATAAAGTTCATCCATCAGTAACCTCCATTGCGTCATTTGAGTCACCTGAAAAGTCAACAAAAGTTGGAACATGCTATTATTTTTTCGTTTATGAAAAAGTAGATGAGCTGAGTTTGGCTGAAGCAACTCAAAATGAGGATAACTTACCCATATCATTAAACATAAACTCATCTTGGTATTCTTTCAAGAACTGCATGGATCGGTTTTCATCCAAGAACAAGGAATACACACGCTTGATGTCCTCCATTTGAACCTATGGAAAACGAGATATTTTGTTTTGAGTTGATATAATACAGAACTATGTACTAAAGTGGTTTTGTGACACTCACCTCATTGCTTTTACGTTTGCGGCTTACAAGACCAGCAGTGGTGATGAGTTGGATTGCATATCGCAGGGAGGTTTCACCCGCAATACGAGTGAGAACTGTAAGGGCATCTTCTGCCATTTCACAATCTTCTTCTTCACACCTGAAAAAGACAGCATTATTGAAGCCTTATGATAAATTTTATGACACAACACAGTAAAAAAAACCCTGATAATTCAAACTTAAGATACGAATTACCTTACCTAATTTTGAGAATTTCCTTGAGTTCTTTCTCCTCGTAAGGTTTGGTGGCTACAATATTCATCCGATCCAAAAGATCAATTGGAATACCATGAGGGGACACATAGTTAGTGCCTCGAATGCGGGTTATACCTCTGTTGGTAGCCATGATAACAACAGGTGCCATTTCATTTTCTAGAGCACGGTTCAAGAATGAAAAACATTCAATATCTAACATGTGAACCTAAGAAACAAAAAAAAAAGAGAGGGTTATTAATACTCAATAGTTGGTCAATCGTTAGACAGGAACATGAAACAGATTGTTTGCCCACCTCATCAATGAAAAGAACACCAGGAACTATTTCTGCCTTGCCCTCTTCTCTCCATTCTGCAACTTTGGCATTAATTTGTTCCCGCACTTCTGACTTTATTTCACCAGTGTCACCTGTTTACATCACATAATTACAGAAAATTGAACTAAAAAATTAAAAAGTAAAAAAGTTTGTACACTGCAATTTTGTTCACCTGAGAATAAAGCAAGGAAGCCATGCGTTCTGCTGTTGATGACATCCACTTCATGCAGTGACACAGTATGAACAACTTCTTTACGCTTTTGTAATTCTCCTTCAGGACATTGAACAAATCTGTCAAAAAAAGAAGAGCAAAATGAAAAAAAAAGTGACAACTAAGAAATTAAAGACGCACACACACAGAGGCAACATGCATTAATACCTTGTTTGAGGACCAGTTGCATCATAATCCCGTGCTCTAGTGAATGACCGTCCTAGTTTGCTAATTTTTCCTGTAGCCTTGTCAATGGTTATGACATCACCAGCTTGTACCTTTGTTAAAAAAAAATAGGAAAAATAAGACCAACAGCAAGGATAAACAATAAGTGTAACAAGTCATTGTACCTTAGAGGTAAAAAACTACTCACCTTTTCTTTCATGATGCATTCAATCATTTTCCCACCCAAATCATATATCGTCTCCATTTCTGTGGTTTTCAGAGTGAGTTTTCCTACTTTTGTTCCTACACCAGTAGCAGGGCGATCCACTTGAACCTCAACAACTTCTCCTTCAATAATCTCCGTTTCTTCCCTGAAGAGTTACAATAAATTGAAGTGAATAGAGTTGCTTACACTAACAGATAAATAAATAAAGTAGAACTTACTTGATACGAACGCCAATAGATTTGCGTATAGCCTGGGTGAGAGCTTCTGTTTTGCTCATTTCAAGGGAGTATATTTCAGAACCAGCCATGCTCGTAAAGGGTGTATCTGCACCAAGAGCCTGAGCCATTCCCATAGCAATGGCAGTTTTACCTGAGGCAGAGGAAAAATTGCACTACATGTAAGAAATTATTCAGTAAAATGAACAATATCAATAATCTACCAGCAAGTACAAGTATAATACCTGTGCCAGGTTGACCAGCGAGAAGTATAGCACGCCCCGCAATTTTTCCTTCTTTGATCATCTCGAGGACAACGCCAGCAGCTCGCCTGGCAGTAAGCTGCCCCACCATTCCCTGGGAGACCTGGAGGAAAACAGTGGGACATAGACTTAAGCATATTCAACAGAGACAGTTAAATCTTACTATAAAAAGGAGAATAAACTTACAACACGGGGCTCAAGGCTGTCATCGAGACCCAGGCCACGGATGTGTGAATGAGCTCCCACCCTCTCGACGCGGGTGGTTTCCCGCACCTCGGCAACTTTGGCTGCAGCAATCGACTGCAATGAGAGGAGAGGAAGTCAGAAATACAGTGCATTCGATGATACCGGCACCGCGGTTTAGAGGTTAGGAAGCAGAAAACTAGGCTTTGGTAGGCAGTTGCTACGGCAAGAAATAGTGATGTGTGACAATTAACATAAAACAATATAAGAAGAAAGTTTTAGTGGGGAGAACGGAGCACTTCCTCGTCAATTTCATGTGAAACATCAAGAAACAGAAACAGGCAACAAGAGGCATGGACGCTGCAGCAACGACGCTCCAGCAGACGTTTCAAGCGAAATTCAACATGCAAAACCGTAAGCCTTTAAGACAAAATTGTTATCAAAGCTATGAAAATTTGAAACTTGATTAAAATGGTATTAAAAGCATGAATCGTGGTACTTACCGCCATCGTGCTAGAATGACTTTGTTTACGCCTCGCCTAACAACCAATCAAACCACACACACACAAACACACCACACAACAGCACTTCCCCCTCCTCCTTTACTGGAGTATAGTGTGCTCTATCCATTTACCTGAGTATGAGAAGTTCTACTGCGAGAGTAAAATCTCAAGGCCCTAAAACTGGTAAAACTAGCAAAAACCCTCCTGGCAGAGGTCATCATGTCCAAGTAGAATCATCATTTCCATCCTTTTTTGAAGATTTTTGATGTTTTTCTTCATCATTTGCTGCTGTTTTCCTTATCAACAGAGTTGCTCCTTTTGTTCGATGTACTGATTTTTTTCTCATAAACTACTCGACGAACACGCTATACTTAGAGCCCCTACCCCCACTGAGGAGCTGGGTTTCCAACATGGTGACAGGACAGCACTCTAACTTTAAGAACGCACCCAAAAGTTGTGACGTGAATATCAGAAGAAAGTTTTCTGTCGGCAATTTTTCAGTCCCCTATTAATTTACAGCAATTTGTGTTATCGCAAAACTTCAGTATCTTACGTGGCTGAAACTTGCACATTTCACTTACAATGGTAGTCCAAGTTAAGTGTCGTCAACGACTACTTGCCGAAAAATAGGAGTCTATCGTCCATCTGTGAGTTTTGAATAGAAGTCACACTTATTTTTTTAAGCCTAACCTCCCTTATGTCTTGTCACTACTAATGCCAGCGTTGCATTTCCACAATTACTGAGATTTTTCCTATACCCCAAGTATATTTAAGAAATGCGATATCTGTTTTGACACTTTTGTGCATGGGTTATGGTGTACTTTATAAATAATGGCTTTGTGAATGAGTTCTGCATTTCATTCCCATACCATGTCCCCTTTTGTGTTGTTCCAAATCTATTGTTTCATTTCAATAGGCTGTGTTCGTTTGTAATTACGTTTTGTCTTTATCTGTTTATGGTAACACCCTGCAGGTGACCTGGTTTAATGCCGTATCCTATACATTTTGTTTGAAGATGCACAACTGCACACCAATATTAATAATAGATCAATAAAGTTCTATGGTTAATTTTACCTTTGTTCAGTGCCATTTTTTTCTGTGTACAGATAATTTACTATAAGTACGTCAGCCAACCTGTCTGATTTAATGTGCTGTCAGTTTTTTAAACTTACAATGATTCAATTGTGCTGGCAAACCTCTGTTCAATTTATCAACAGAATCTAACTGGACTGTGACCGGTCCTGTTTGTATATTTTTTGTGCGTGTGGCTGTCAAGTGTACAACGTGAAATTGGGATGCATGTTGCCTGGGTGTTTCAGGGCTGCTTATTGCTTGGTCTGAGCTGCAGTCATGTCTGATCCATATTGGATCAAGAGCGGTGGCATGGGGGCACCCTATTACAGCTTGCCACCACCAGCTCAACAGGTACAGTTGCCACCACTAATTGGAAGCAAGTGGTTAGAGTGCGTACCCATGTGCCAAGTCTTTCATCTAATTGTAATTTTCCTTTTGTGTCTCAGCAACACCATCAAATGTCACAACATCAGGTGCCTCAACAGCAACCCCCTCAACAATTGGCTCAACAACTACCTCAGCAGCAACAGCAACAACAATATCAAAATATGAGTTGGAACAGGGTCCCTCCCAAGGCAGCACCTGCAGATTCCTGGGGCTCATGGCACAACCAGCCACAGCCTCCACCACCTGCCAACAATGCAGCACAGGTGCACACATGTTCCTCTAGACCTCCCATTATTTTAGATAGATTTGTAGACTTACAATCTGGTTTAAAATTTACAGAATTACCAAGCTTACAATTATGTGCAACAGCCTCAGCATCAACCACCTCACCCTCATAGTGCAGACGCTTGGAACTGGGGTGCAGAAGAGTCACCACAGGTGGCACTGCACCAGCCTGTAGTCAACAATAATATTAACCAGTCGTTCCAGAATGACTCTAGCTGGAATTGGAGTGTTGACCAGTCAGCACCCCATCAGAACTCTGTCAACTATTATCAAATGGGCTACAGTGACCAGCACAATTATTCTGAGCAAAACTTGGGTGACCAGAACCAACTGCCAGCTAACAACAATCAAGGGTATCCTGAAGCCAATATTGCTCATGCTGCACCCCATAATGTCCAAGATTTTGCCAATGTAACTCAGTTCAGTGAGCAAAGCAAGGTCGATGGGGCAGAAGAAATGAAGACTGAACAACCTGTGGAGGCGACCGAAAGATATGACGATCTGCCTGAACCAGCCATGAGTGAAACTAGCAAACATAGTATGACACCTCAGTGGTCTATTGAAAGTCAAGTTAGTCAGGACTCAGATGATATATCATCCAGTATTGGCCACACTGGAGGTTTCTCACCTGCATCCACAAGCCAAGCTAAATCTGAAGATTCTGGCCAGCGTCATTATGGGTATGGCTCATCAGGAGATGTTCAAAATCTGTGGGAAGACACTGAAGATGACGAAGATTTAACCGATAAGAATACCTTCCTAGAACAGTCGCTTGAACCAAACCCCTCTATAGACCAAATTGATCGTCACAACAAGTTAAATCTTGATGACACCATATCAGCTTTGGAAAATTTAAATGTATCATCGGACAATCCAGATGCTTCATTACCTTTACCTCAAAGCGTTTCTTCAGACTCCGGTCCTCCATCCTCTGGCCCTCCACCCTCTGGTCCTCCACCCTCTGGTCCTCCACCCTCTGGTCCTCCTCCCTCTGGCCCACCACCTTCTGGCCCTCCTCCCTCTGGTCCACCACCCTCTGGTCCACCACCCTCTGGTCCACCACCCTCTGGTCCTCCACCCTCTGGTCCTCCACCCTCTGGTCCTCCTCCCTCTGGTCCACCACCCTCTGGTCCACCACCCTCTGGGCCACTTCCCATGGGCATGGCACCTCCCGGCAAAGTGGGCATGTTTCCTTCGGGGGGTAATCCTTATTCTGTAAACCGTTCAGGCCTCAGCCACAAGTCAAGCAACAAGCTGTTTCCCAGTTCTGGCATGTCAAGGCAGGCATTTCCACCCCCAATGCAACCAAGTGCCCAAACAGAAATTATTCCACCCAATCAAGAAAACTTTGCAAGTCAGCCAGGAGCTGTAGATAACCGGTCTATTGAACCACCTGCTGGGCATGTAAGTTGTTGTTTTCATTAGAAGAGTTTCTAAGCTAAATGCTGGAAATTACAATTGTTTTATTTTTACCATTTAGGAAATGGGCAGACCTGCTGATTTGACTTCACAAACTCCAACTCCTTGGGCTCCTCAAGAAAGTCATGAAGCTTCCTCTCGCTTTGGCCTGGATCGTAATCAATATCTGGAGACTGGGCAACTTACTTCTCAAACATCAGAGGAAGAAAGTGCCCCTCCACCAGGGTTGCATAGGCTTGTCACAGGACAGTTGACTGAACAGGACTCTCAAGCAGAGGTACTTAAAGCATAAAGTCAACAGAATTGATCCTGTGGACTGCATGATAGTCTAGTCGATGAAACTATTTTTATTCTGTGCTGATTACAGATTTCAACACCTCCGCCTGGGCTAGATCGCATGATTCCTGGGCAAATCACTGAGAGGAATGAAATGCGTATGGTGCCTGGTCGAATGATGGAAGATGATGATGATGATGACGATGTTGAGGATGATACTGGTAATAATCTGCTTGTTGGATCTCGAAATACATCACGAAGCTCATCACGGGATCAGAATTCTGAGCATGCCTCAAATCTACGTAGAATGATTCCTGGCCAAACTGATTCTCAGGTATGAACAGGATACCTTCAATTATTTAGTAGTATACTGGAGTACTATAGTTTCAATTTTTTTCTTAAAGTAATTGGATGATGATGCAGTAAAAAGTGGATTGTTTTCAGGAGGAGGAAGATGAATTGCCAAATATTTCAATTGGACCTGGTGACCTGCCACCCGGACTGCATAGAATGGTTCCCGGGGAGTCAAGTAGTCCGGAGTCCCAAGCCAACAATTCAGGAGGAATTCCAAGTAGCACAAACAACTCTGCTTTCCAACCCATTGAACCTCGCGTCGTGACAGGTGATTCTATGGAATCAATGCCCCAGACTGTTGTTGTGCCACCACCACAACCAAGTATGTTTGAATTATGCTTGCCTGCACTTGACGTACTTGCAGAAAATGAAAACTAATTATTTTATTTGATTAAGCAGGTATCAAAGTTGAGCCAGGCAGTCCAGCTCCAGATCATTCTATTGATAACAGGAGTCCAAGCAACCCTCAGCCAACTAGCGAACGAAGTGAAACAATAGGATCTGACGGAGTAGATGAAAAGGCATCCGACAACACCATGAAGAAGAGGTAAGAGACTGTTCACCAGGCGGCCGAGGCGGCAGACTTGACTTGCCTGTGCTTGTTCCGAAGGTACAAGTCTGACCTTTCTGTTGCCCTTGTTTCCAGTGACAGGCGGTCCAGGGACGATGTGGACGACGAGAACCGGGACGAGAGGGACTCTAGAGGCCGGGACTACTATCGCCGGGACCGGGAGGACGACCGGGACCGGAGCTCGTCTCCCACCGACAGCGGCAGCAACCGCTATCGCGACGACAGGGACCGTGACCGCGACCGCGACCGCGACCGTGACCGGCGGTACGACTCGCCGGAGGGGCGGTCCCGGTACCGGCGGGGGGCGCGCGACAAGGACGCCGACTACGACTCGGACCGCAGGGACAGGTACGAGTCGCGGCAAGGGCGCGACACACAGCGCGACCACAGGTCGTCCAAGCGGGACGGCAGGGAAGGACCGGGCGACAAGGCGAGGAGAGGGTAAGTCGCAGTCGATGTGTTGGGTTGGACGCCTCACGCCTCACGCTCGTTCATGCTTGTCACAACGTCGTCGTTTGCACTTCGCAGGCTGAACAGAGAAGAAGGCGAGGTGGACAGCGACGACTACAGCAGCGAGCGGGACAGCCGCAAGTGGAACCGGGACAGGGACGTGGACCGGGACCGGGACTACGACCGCGCCAGGGACCGGGACGCGGACCGGGACAGGGACCGGGACAGAGAGCGTGATCGTGACAGGGACCGCCACCGGGACAGGCCGCGTGACGGGTACCGGGACCACCGCGACCGCGGAGACAGGTCCTACGGCGACGACTACTACAGGAGAGGGGAGAGGCGCGGTCGCGACGACCCCGACAAGGGCCGCAGGTGAGTGATCGACTGGCGCACGTTGAGGTGTGTGCCACGTGGTGGGCACGTGGCGAGCACGCTGTCTTAACGCCGCCGTGTTTCGTGTTTCCCTGCGCAGGAGTGGAGGCCGCCGTCCGGACGATTACCAGCGAGGCTACGACGAGGACTACTACCGGGACAGACGGTAAGGCTGAGGCCCCTCCTTGCACCTGTGGGCGTGCTGTGGGAGAGCGTCTGGCTCAACTTGGTTTCTCCTGCCTGCAGGTCGTCGAGGCCTTCCTCGCGGTCGGGGTCGGTGCACGAGTACGGCCACGGCTACGAGCGGGAGTACCGGGAGGAGCGCCACGACCGGCCCGCCGACCGGCACGGCAAGCAGGGCCAGTACAACTACCCTGGTAGGCTTCCCCGGCCTGGAACTCAGGAACCATGGTCCTAGTCCCGGTAAACCATCGGGTGCATTAAATGCCTTCCCAAGCGGTTGCAACTAAGCTTGTTGGTTTTTTTTTTTTCCAGGATACTACTATAATGCTCAAGACTACTATCGGTACCAAATGTACTACGCAAATTTAAGGAAAACTGACCCCGAGGCGTATGCTGCCTGGTATAGGAAGTACTACAGTCAGTATGCTGCTTCTCAGCCTGGAACTTATGAAGATAGAGGAAGTGTGCACTCTGGACGTAGCTCTGCCAATGAGGAGCTCAGCAATCAGAGGTATGCCTTTTTCGTTTAGGATATTGTCTTTAAGAGTTATATGTGAAGAAGTAAAATTGACATACTACCTAGCGTTTGGAGGGGATGTTGAAATTTTTTTGCAAATTGCAGGTTTGACAGACATAGATCTCCTAATAGGTCACAAAATTATTATCAAAAAAGTCCTCAGACTTCAAGCTCTAATCGTTATCAAAGCACTGATAATGCATCTCCATTTTCACGGGAAAGTGGGCGGTGAGGTGCTTTTTTATTTCAGTAGATCTTTGCAGTAAAAATTTTCTTGGAATTTTTTGATTTGATTTAGATGGGATGAGTTGGGTAGTTAATGAGAATGAGAATTTAATTAGTATAATGACTTGAACTGAATTAGTCCCTGAACTTAGTTTGTATTAGTAAATGTAGATGCATTATGTAGTTTAAAAACTATCGTTTTAGACCTAAAGTTTGTTGATCTGAATACAGTCCCTGCCCCTCATTTGTCAAAAATGGTCTGAAAATGGGGATGGAGGGTTTGGGAAGCTGTATTAAGATTGTAACAGTACTTACTTTGTTGTGCTTGGTACTGCAGTTTTTTTTTTCTTAAAATAATATTTTGTATCTTATACTTTCTTTGTCTTCACAGGGGAGTTGGCCATGGTGAGAGTTCTTTGGATGAAACAAATTCATCCATCCAAAGGTTGACACCCTTTAAGTTCTCTACAGCACATATTAAAGGTACTGTTATGCATTCTTTTCTTTTTCTTGTATATCAGTATACTGGTTGATTAGTTGAATTTTTCCAAAACCTTCACTGATGTTTCTTTCACAGGGATTCTAACTAGGAGGGGACACTTGCTGAAAGTGCTGCCACATTATCCATTGGATGGCCAGTCTGCTACTGTGGAAATGCACAGCATGCAAACACTCATTCCTCAAGATCCTAGTCTTCAGGAATTACTTGCACTGCCTGGTCCTCTTGTGAGAGGAGTGACTCATAAGCAAACAATAATTTTATATTTACGCTCCAAAATGGAATCCACCCGTAGTGATCCAGCAATTTTCGATCGCCAATCAGTGGTTTTGTTGTATGAACTACTCATTCTTTTACTTAGACAAAATGGGGTTTGTAAAAACATTTTTCTTGTCATTCATAAAATTAATAGTAGTACTCTTAAGTACTAATTTTGCACCACTTTTGCTTCCAGATGATTGTAGGCACAGATATTGCTGAACTTTTGATGAGAAATGGGGAGAGCTCCGAGGCAGACGATAGTTGGTCTGCCTCCGGGGGCGCCGATCCTCGAGCACGGTCTACACCTTCTCCTGCACCAAGCGGAGGGAGCCGCACTAGCTCCGCGAGTGCCACCCCTGCGGTGCAAATGAACTCCTCATTCATTCAACAGACCAAGCTGTCTGAATCAGAAATCACTAACAAATTCAGAGAGTTCCTCTTGTATGGAAACACAAAGGAAGCCTTGGGTTAGTATTGGTTCACCACATATTGTGCAAGGAAAATTGTTTTTTGTAGGTTTCTTGTATGAGCCACTCCTTCTAATCCACTGTCCATGTGCACTAATTTTTATTGTCTTGTGTAACTTTCAGAATGGGCTATGAAGCATGGTTTGTGGGGTCATGCTCTTTTCTTGTCATCCAAGTTGGACCAACGCATGTACCACAGTGTGATGACTCGTTTTGCGAATGGCCTTGCATTAACTGACCCCATTCAGACACTTTATCAGCTTTTATCGGGCTGGCAACCTGCTGCTGTCACAGTGAGTAAAATCCTTAATGGGACTAACCATTACCTGAGTCTAACATTGTAACATAAGATTCTTGTACTGAAACTTACTCATGGTTCATATTCTTCATGCAGTGTGTGGCTGATGACAAGTGGGGCGACTGGAGACCTCACCTAGCTATGATTCTTAGTAATACTTCATCTCGTCCTGAGATAGACCACAAAGCTATCATGACCTTGGGTGACACTCTTGGTAAGAAAGGTGTTGTGGTTTTGACATAACTAACAGATGATTGATGATTCTTTTATGACTCCTTAATTTCATGCTTTACCCCCAGGTGCTCGTGGCTGCCTCCATGCTGCACACTTTTGCTACTTGATGGCCCAGCATCCATTTGGAACATATTCTCAAAGATCATCAAAGTATGTGCTGTTAGGGTCATCTCATTTGAGGGCTTTTGCAGAATTTGCAACAAATGAGGCTATCATGATTACTTGTATTTATGAGTATGCCCGATCGTTGGCTGACCCGAATTTCCACATTCCTAACCTTCAGGTAATTAATCTAGATTTTGTTCACATGATTTCACATGATTTTTCAATGTGTCCTCACAATTTTTATATTACTATCAAATTTCTCTTTTGTTTCAGCCTTACAAATATTTGATGGCAACAAGACTAGTGGAAGCCCATCTTCTGCCTGAGGCTGTACATTACTGTGAAATTGTTTCAAGACTTATTGTACAAAATCCTCAGCAGTATGATGCAGGCTTTATTCATGACATAGCCGAGCTGGGTGAAAGTCTCAAGTTTCATGATCCATTTTATGCCGCTGGTGGAGATCTCAGTTCACAGGGAGACCCTGACTGGCTTCTTCAAATCCGTTCTGTATCAACAGATTACAGTGTAAGTCCTTCAGAAAATGTTTGGTGGAAATGAATCATGAGTGACTGAAATTGTAATAATAGAAACCTCTGGCTCTCTTTGGTTCTCAGGTTGGGGCTTCTCTTTCAAACAGTACCAATTATGGTGAATCTTTCTTAAATACAAATTATAGTATGGCACAAGGTGACACCTTGACCGAGCAGACATCACTCAGCTCACATTCCATGGTAACATTCTCTGTATTTTATATAATCAACAATTTGGTTTTAAATCAATATTTGCATTAATTATTACGATTATTTTGTTTTTTTTTCTTCAAGGAACCCTCACCATACAGTCAAGACATGTCCCAAGCCCCAATATTCTCAATTGAACACAACCAACAAGATCTGCAAACCCATCAGCAGCAAATGCAGCAGCAAGAGCAACAGCAACTTCCACCTCAGTCCGAGCAAACTCAACAACCATTTTATTATCAAGAACAGCAACAGCAGCAACAGCAGCAGTGGGGTCTCCAAGAAGGACAAATCCCACAATCTGCTGAGCCTTCCGCCTACAGTGCTGATGGTCAGTGCTAGCTGCATAGTGTTGCAGTATGTCGTATGTCCACTTGGTATTTCCCTTTTTCGTATAGTGTGACTGTCACTGCAATTTTTTACTGCACAGGTTATGGACAAGTGGATTCCAATCAGAGTGCCTGGTGGAGTGGTCAACAAGAAGAAATGCCCAGCATTTCAACAGATGCATCTGTGATGCAGGGACAAAATAACTTGGAGGTAAGATAATGTTGCTTGATTGATACCACATTCCTTAGCTGGTACTGTGTCAATTCTGCTCCATCAGTATTTAAGGCTTGTAAAAATTTTGATTTAAGGAGGAGTGGTATGACTTGTAACTGCATCATTTGCTGCTATCTCCCCCTTGGTTAGAAACTTTAGATATCTTTCATTCAGTAGTCAAAGTTTTTGTTACTCACCTGCCACCCCTCATTCAGATGTGTTAATGGACTTAAGAAGAAGATAACTGCTCAGAGGCACTAAATCTCATCCACCACCTCCCACTTCCCCTATCCCAAAGCAGGACTAAGCTACAGTTTTGAACAATTTACGAAAACTCAAATAATTTACCAATACTTTAGATGAAACTCATTTTCTTGTTTTTGTTTTTTTTCCCTTTTGTTGCCTCATGTTGGACATATAGTCTGGGGCTAAAGCCTCCAAGCCTGTAAGTACAAAGTATCCTGTGTCCAGCCATAGGATGAATCAATCTGACTACTATGAAGATGACCTTCTGTCCTATGCTCTGAAAACACCGAGTGTCAAACCAGAAAATCATTCTGCTGAACATCAAAGGCATCTTATGAAGGCAAATTCACTTCGTGTTCATAAACCTGAAATCATTATGAACACAGTAGAAGCTTGGAGCAAGGATTTTAATGGCAAACTTCTTCGGAACTTAAGACATGGAGATATCAGGCGATTCCGCAGTGCAGCTCGACCACTTGTGTTTGGTGGAACATATCCAATAGACGAACCCATACATCACAAGCGGTATCAAGATACAACTGGGAAGACCGATTATGCTGCCTACTTTGAGCCCGATTCATTTCCCATTGACGAACCCATAGACCAACCCAATAAAAACTTTGCAAATTGGAACCGTGAAAATGTTAAGAGACGCATAGTTCAAAGCAGTGAATTTAGACGAGATGAAGAACTGAGTGACACTGATGTGACTGACAGCGAGGATTGTTGCCATGTCAAAGATGAATAATTAGCTTCATATTAGGAGTGTTTCTGTTATAAAATTCAATGCACAGATTGAATTATGTTGTGAGGGTTATCTTCACATACTCTGTGTCCCTTTGAGGATGAATTTAGAAATTTAGCTCATCTATTTTCCTTCAAGATACCTGTGTATAAAGATAACTCTACTCTATACACTCCGATTGGTAATCTGTGATTTGTCATCTGTAGCTCATCCTTACAATCATTTAGATGATTAAGAATGGGTAAATTTTGCTGGCTGTGAACATTTTCTATCTCATTCGAGTGTTTGGTTTTCTTTGCCTTCATCATTTTTCCCTTTACCATTCAAACCATTTAGTTTTCTGTGTCAACCTTTAGGTGTTACTCATGGCAAACTATGAATTCCATTACTGATCTCAGCTGTCGAAATAGCATGGACATGGGGTTTATTTTATTTCAGTCAAATTAATTTCTCAAAGTAATTTGCCCAGTATTCTCACTTTTATAATCTGTGCCCTGATCTGTGTCACATTGTTTAAATTTCTAGCCTTGTTGTAATTTGATGCATGCATTTTTCATCAACTGTGTGCCTCTTGTATTATTTCATCAACATGTGATAGATATTTTGATTAAATTGGAAATTAATTTTCATCGTTTTCATTAAACCTCAAGCATCACATCAGTCATATTGTCTATTCAATGCACAGAATATTCTTATTACAAACAACTCAATTCCACAACTTCCTCACTTCATTCTCCTTTTCCTATAAATCATTGCATTTTTTGAAATCATCTACTGTGTGAGCGCAAACACACAAGATAAAAAATTTTTTGTGCCTAGTCATTAGGAGTTAGGGGTGGATGGGTGGTGGTGGGTTATGATAGTCGACCTTTGCATCTATTGTTATAGCTTTGAGTTTTCTTATCTGTAATTTTTCTTTCAGCCCATACAACAACAACAACCACAACAACAAATCCAACCAAAGGCAACTCCTCCCACTCCTGCAACCCAGATCACCAGTCTGACGGGTTCAGCAGCCACTAAAACAGCAAACCAGCAACCAGCAGCATCTGCCGGCACTCAGTCTAATAGTAGCTGGTTTGGAGGACTCTGGAACAAGTTGGCTCTTCGACCGAAAAACCAGATGAAGCTACCTGATGACAAGAACCCATCCGTAAGCATTCCTTACATTAAACCATTTTCTAAATCATGGTGCAATATCTTTGCTTAACACTATTACCATGTGTGTTTCATTTTTGACAGATTGTGTGGGATGATCAAAAGAAGCGGTGGGTTAACACTGATGCTGATGGCGAAGAAACGAGTGGCAATGTTGCTCCCCCTCCCAAGATGTCCGAAATGCCGGGCCGCTTCGCGTCTCCCGGCCCTGGCCCCACCACCAGCACTCCCAACGTCCCTACTCATGCGCCCGCCATGGCCAACGGTAGTGCCGGCATGGCGTTCAGCACACCAGTGAGCTCGGTGGTGCCGCCCCAGCCCCAAGGCAACGAGGGCAACAACGCTGCGGCCAAGCCGCCCTCTGGACCCAACATGTTCAAATTGCAACGCGGCCGAAGTAAGCAGAAACTAGTACCGTAAGGGGTGAAACCAAACCGATTTGTAGAGGACGTAAGTGACATTACTTTTTTTTTTCCTGTGTGTGTGCAGGTTTGAAAGCTAGCTATGTTGATGTGATGAATCCAAATGGAACCAAACCGTCGGGTCCCGCAGGCCTCCCACCTCCAAATCTGTTCCCCTCTTCAACCAGTCAGCCCAGTTCTCTAAATTATTTTGTCCCAGCTGCAGGTTTGTACATGACATAAATTTTAGTATACTGTGCTATCCAACTTTCTTACTCGGGTTACTCTTGGCCTACTTCAAAAATCTGATTTCTGTTAATACTGTTCCAGTTGAGGGAAATGATAATGCTCCAACAGACTTCCTAACTCCAGCATCAATGCCAACCGATTCAGTTCCTGACCAACAGCCTGTGAGTAGACACAAACTTTTTACGTTGAATGTTTCTGAAATTAAATAAATAAATATTAGTTTTAAATTAGATTTTTGAGACTCTTTTTATACCACTCTGTTGCTATAGAGAACTATAGTATCTTTGTAGTTAAATGCCCTATTTACTGTATAGCAAGTTTGCAGTAGACCATTTTAATATTTAATTGCCATTATTTTCATAGAATGTAGATTGGTAAGGTGTATATAAAACACTGGGTGACTCTTTTTTGGTGTTTTGGGGACATGGACATGCATGTGTGGTAAAATGTTTGTGGCCACTTTCAAATCATTATCTGTCTATTTCCTCTCTCATGGGACAATATTTTTCGTATGTTGACAACTTTGTAGTGTTTCTTTTTACATTGCATACAGCTTGAGATAATGTAGCTGCCCATAGAATAACACATTTTTATTCATTTGAAAAATTTTCTAGTTATTCTAAACTCAGTGAGGAATGTTTATTCCCGTGTGAACTCATGTAGTTCATCCAAGACCTGAGGTCTAAATTTAATTGATAGCTGCTGGTTTAATACAGTATCTGTATCCATTTTCTTGTCTGGGAGCTTAGGACTTGGCTTAGAATTGGGTGTGGGCTCATTCCATTTGTCTTGTCTTTCCAACATCATTTTCTGTGACTTTCGTCTGTAAATTTAGGATATTTGGGTGAAGTTTGTGTGGAAAAGAAAAGAAGAGGAAAAGCCATTCTTGTGAAGCTTTTAATTACTCTTTTTAGCTTTTCAACAGGTTTCAAAAAAGAGAGTGAGCTGGAATCCAAAGGCCTCTCGATAGACCTTTCTCCTTCTTCTTCTCCTAGGTCTCTAATTGCATTCTTGTAAGGACATTCTTATACTTTTGTTTCTCGCACACTGCAAGTTTGATGCACGCTTTGTGAGTCATCATGCCCTCACATTTGAGCTGCTCTAACCAGCATAAATTGGAATAAATGATTTCAAATCATATTTCATTTCTAGTATGTTAGGTTCTTATTGGCATTTGAATAGCAAGGTGTTTACTTTTCTTCATCCCTCATGTGTGGTTGGCTCATCCTTTGTTTGGGGTTGATTGTGGATTGATTGATTTGCTTTGTGTCCATGACATACTTCTGTTTTTGTCCATGCTGTTTATTGTTTTGGTGTTCTTTTATTTTAAATGGAATTAAATATTTGCAGTGCACAGATTTTTATGAATATTACATTTGTAGACTCTGTTTGTTAAACTTTAAGTCACTGTTTGATTTTCTGACTGTTTTAGAATACCCCCTTAAACAAATAGTGCTTTTTTTTTTATTTATTTTTTTATTTTTTGCATTTTGTGCAAGCATTAAATTTTTAAAGACTGATACAAGTCTATGCATGGATCCATGCATTACAGTGTTGTTTTTGTTTCTTTTCTTGACACTTCAGAGTAAATTTTTTTTGAAGTCCAAAAAGTTTTAGTTTTGCATAGCTGTGCATAGTGAATAGATTTCTTGCTTTTGCTGGTTTTAGTACATCATGCTTTTGTCACGCTTGTGTAGCTTTCTCGCTGGAGCTCTACAAGCTCTCTGTCTCGTGAGGTTCAGTCCTACACCAGCAATCGGCCACCCAGCAGGAATCAGGTAATGCTACATGTGGTTGTATTTCTTGACCATTGTCCATTTTGAACAAGTGAAAAGTACCGAGCGGAAGGGGGAGGACAGACAAAGATAATTCACTTCAAAATTTTGAGAGCTCTACTGCTGCTTGTTTACGCAACAGCATGCTTTCATTGGTTGGCACACTTCATTTCATTCTGCTTGGTTTTGTTGAGCACTTGTAAATATCATTTTCCTATTGAATACTGCCTTTTCAATCTGCATGCTGTGAAAGGAGCTTCAATTCGCCCTGTGTGAATGTCTTCAGCAGTATAATGCGATACATGCTTTGGTTAGATGGCAATGTCCATTTATTTTTTATATCTTACTCTTCATGTTTTTACTGATGGACATTTTCATGTCTGTTTTTATGTCTACCAGATGCAACCTGGTCCAGCTGGCCCGCAAATGTTCAACCCCGCCCAATTCTCTCAGCAGTCACTGTCAACAGCTAATCGGAAGCGATATGCCAACTGATAATCATTTTGATGACTCCTCAAGATGTCTCTGAGAGGGATGTATGGAGATGCATGGATAATCTAAAGACACACTTTAGGTGAAAGGGTGAGAAAGACTTATCATATAGTACAGAATGTTCTTTCAAAATGATAAATGTAGGTAGTATTATTATCTGCACATATTTTGTATTTGATTTCTCAGGATAAGGCAAATAAGTTCAATTTTTGTGCCTCTCTTGTCTGTATATTTGTGTAGGGACGATTTTTGAAACCCATGTTTTTGTAAATGGTTTTTGATGGTGCAAGAAGTGATAATGGTGGTTTGATTGTTTTCATAGATTGATGCTCAATGTGGTGGTTGTTGTCGGCCAGAGATGGCTGGTTTGGCACTGTCTTGTTTTATTGAAGATAATGTGCTGCTGGACAGTACTGGGTGTATTTCTTTTGTATATCTTTGACTGAGTTTGACCAGGATAATAATCTTTCAGAATAGCCAGTACAGTCTTGCACATGAAGTTGTGCACTTAATTTTTTACTTATTTATGTCTAGATGCTTGATTCTGGTTCTGGGCTTTCCTAAAAGGTCACAATGCTTAGATGTAGTAAGAATGGCATCATCATGTATTTCTGGGCATTGTTGATGAAATGTATCTGTTACAAAATGAATATCATTGTACCCCATGAGAGTTTAGCCCACATTCCCTAATGGTAAGATACTTCTAAAGGTTACCAGAGGTCTTTTTTTAGAGACCATGTTGTGAATAGTAGATTTGTAAATATTGTAACTTTTTTTTGGTTCAGAACTTAAATTTATCTAATGTTCTGCCAGTTTTGTGACATCAATTATAACTCTGCCTCAGCTGGATGTATGTACACCAACTTTGTCTCAGAGGTTGTTTTAAGCTGTAATATTTGCACTTATTTATATCACTGGATAGGAAGAATTTATTGTGATCATTTTATCTTTTCTTCTTGAAAACTAACATATGTGATGTTGTTCTTAAATAAAAATATTATGTGTGTCAAGCTGTAGAGTTTTCTAGTATTACTGATAACCATGTTCTTGGTGACTGAGTGACCTTGCTTTTAAATTTAAAAGAAACATTGCTGTTTGGAGTGTCAAGTTTTGCTTTGTTCAAGAGATTGATGTTTCCCTACACTCGTCCCAGAAGGATTGTGGTTTGCCATTATGAAGTTTTTCTTTTTCCCAAGAATATATAGGTTTTGAGAGATTGAAATTTTATATCCTGTTGATTTTTTAAAACATAGCTTTGATTTCATGGAATTTTTATGCAACTATGGCCAGTCAGTCCACAGTTATATATTTATTTTATTGCTTGAAGACTGACATTTGCATTTTTTTAGTAACAAGTAGGAAGGGCTTGCCAAAATTATTTATTGTCGCTCTTTCTACTTGGTTGTGCAAATGGCTAAATTGATTGTAAAGTATACTTTTTAAATTATCTTCTTTTAAACTATAGTTTATATGCCTTGTTTCTTGAAAGTATCCTTAAAGGTACTTGAAAGGTATGCAGTGAAATTTGTTTGAGAGTAAGTGCTCATTTTTATCTTGGCATTGCTTGGATATGGGCCAATATGAAGTCTTGTGGCCCCATTGCAAATAATATAAGTCTACAACTGAACTAAAAATCAATGAAATATAAATCAATAGTACATGTCGTCCATGTTAAGAGAAATTGGCTGTCATCAAATTGGATCATGTGGTACATACTCAGGTGTACTGCTACTGCTACATTAACTAAGTTGAAATTTTGGGTTTGGTAAAGCAAGTAATGTAATGATTTAATGTTATATTCTTAAAAGCAGTGAAATATACTTCTATTTGTGTTCTGTCAAATTGAGTTTTATCTCTTTTTTTTCATCACCTGCATGTCACATCAGAATAGGCTTTTGATATGAGTGGGGAAAAGACTGAAACATTGATTGACTATTTTAATTTATTTTTGCCATAAATAAGTATTTACAAGAGACCCGTCAACAAAAAGTAGTTTGTTAACATGAAATTTCCACTGACATGAAGTATGTATAGAAAATATTGGTAGAGTTGAACAGCTGTAACTGTTCCCTGGGCTATCGAAAAAATAAATTGTATTTCCCTTAGAAAACTAAGAGAAGGACTTATTCAAAGAATAAACTTAATTAAGAAGATGGTATCACTTGGCTGGAACTAACTAGACCAGGTACCTTCAAAATTATGTTTCTTTGTCTGGGATGACAGACAGGTTTTGTCATGAACATCTAGTGACTACGCAGATCTGATTCTGAATGGCACTAGACGGTCACAAGAAATTGATCAGTCTTGACCGATACTTCTGTCAGATACTTTAGTTCATCAGTTCTTGTAAAAAGTTCTTTCCTCACTCAGACACTTGTTTATCACTGTTGATTGTGCTTGAGGTCCCTCTCCAGGGATCAGAAGCACGATATGTTTTCGACCAATAAATTGGAACACATCAGTTATGGCACATTCTTAATATTATGTCATGGAATTGAAGCTAATTTAAATCGAATCGAGCGCCATTTTCTAAGTGTGAGTTTAGACTGCCTTTGTGTAAATTTGAGTATGAGGGAAAATGGACACTGAGCACTTAGACACCGGGACTGCTCACGCTAAGTCGCCTGGGGTTGAGCACTTGTGGACAAGACCGTTCCGAATGTCATGCTCTTCGAAGCGACCACAGTCCCTCGCGACGTGCGCGCTGGCACGCTAAAGTTGAACGTGCAGGGGGCGCACGACGTGGTAACTTTGGAACACCACGCTCATGCTCGGTAGTTTCGCTCTTCGCTCACACGAGCAGCTTGCCGTTGACGCACGCCGGTCCCTTGGAGGGCCAGTTGCAGGCGCCGATGGTGGTGTCGTAGGCCAGGTGGATCGGGCAGTTGAACACGTTGACGGCGTACTTCTTCTTCCACTTGTCCCAGTTGCACGAGTAGAACTTGTTGCAGAGCTCGGGGTGTCTGAACAGGCCGGGGCGTCGGCACTCCACCACGCCGTTGGCACCCAGGTCCACGGTGTGGCCGGGGCCGGGCGTCGGCTCCAGGCTGTTGTCCGCCTCGTCGGAGGGCGGCGCGGCGGAGGCGGGCGCTGCGCGGGCGAGGTCGTTGTCGGAGCGCGAGCGCGAGCGCGTCCTGGGCGAAGGCCGGGAACGGGGCCGCGGCTTGATGAGCACGGCGTCCTGGTCGTCCTCGTCGTCCTTGCTGTTGATGTGAATGGAGCGCGCCGTGGTGCGGCGGCCTGCCGACCTCCTGCTGCTGGCGGTCGTCACCTCGTAGACGGTGCTGCTGGACGTGCTCGAGCTCAGGCTAGCCTGCTCGTCGTCGTCGGGCTCGGCGGTGGTGGACACGTAGATGGTGCTCTTGGCCTTGCCGGCGCGGATATACGTGGTTCTGCCTCGGCCCCTGCCGCGGCTCGCCACCGTGCTGGACACCAGGTCGTCTTGCTCGTACGCGGAGGACGAGGACACGGAGCCCTCCGTGCTGGAAACGACCACGGCGCCGAAGTCGGCGACGTTGGCCTCGTCGTCATCGTCGTCCTCGGCGTCTGACTTCTCGGCATCGCGGATGAGCGCCAGGTCCTCCTCGATCTCGGCCTGCTTGGTGGAGGACAGCACGCGGCCCTCCGTGGTGGAAGACACGTAGCCCTCGGTGGAGGAGACGTAGCCCTCCGTCGACGACACGCCGGCGGAAGCCACGTCGCCGTCCTTGGGTCGCACGACGCGCACGCGCGACACGACGCGCTTCACGCCGGGGCGTCGGCGACGAGCAGACACGGCGTTGTCGGCGCAGCTGCACTGCGCGCCCAGCTTGCCGATGAGCAGCGGGTTCACGTCACTGATCCTCGTCACCACCACGATCTTGGTGCGCTTCCTGCCCTTGGCGCGGAGCGTGCTCGAGCTGTAACCCTCCGTGGTTGAGCTGCTGTAGTAGCCCTCGTCTCCGCTCTGAACACGGACGCGACCAGGGCGGACGCGACCGCCTGCGGCGCCGATGGCGGCCAGCGTGCTGGACTCCACCACCTTGGCCAGGCCGGAGTACGCGTCTTCGGTCTTGACGCCGTAGCCCTCCTCGGCGTCGATCTGCTGCTGCAGTTCTCCCTCCTCGTAGCCGATGCGGAGTCCGCCGCGCGCGGGTGCCGCCGTGGTGCTCACCACCACGTCGCCGGCGTAGCCTTCAGACACCACCTGCTGCTGCTGCTCCTCGATGTAGGCGGCGGCAGTGGTGGACGGCCTGAGTCGGCGCACGGGCACGGGCGTGGACTGGTACTGTACCTCCACTGTGGCGGGGTTCTCGGGGGCGACAGGGTACACGTCGACGGCCTGCTGCTCCTGCTGGCCCTGCACGTACGAGTACTCGGACACCACCTTGCCCTTCTTGGCGCCAAACTCGACGTTCTGCTCGCTCTGGTACTCCTGCTGCTCTACGTTCTCCACGTAGGCTGGAGTGGACACCTCGCTGACGATCGTCTTGGAGACGGACACGGGTGCGGGCGTGGAGTAGTACTGCTGGGAGTACACCTCGGGGCGGGCGCTCGAGTAGTTCTCCACGACAGTGTACTGCGCGGGGGTGGGGGCGGGGGTGGACGAGTACACGACCTGCTGCTCGGTGTAGCGGGCGGGGGCGGGCGTGGACGAGTACGACACTTGGTTGTAGCGGGCGGGCGGCGCGGCGGTCTGAACGAAGAGCGCCACTGGGGGCTCCTCGTCCACGGTCTGCTGCTGCTGCTGGTGCTGGACCTCGAACTGTCCACTGTACTGGTTGGTCTGTTGCTCGGACACCTGTTAAACATCAAAGAGGTTCAGGTTAGTCTGGGTCATGCACAGGACTGCGACCAAAAGAAGGCCCACTCACCTGGCTGACGACGGCTCCCTGGTACTTGGGCGTGGAGGACACGTAGTTGAACTGGAACGGCGCGGGCGTTGACGAGACGCGGAGTCCTGCGCTGCTCTGGCTGCAGGTGGCGCAGGGGAGGGGGGACGGCGTCGACGAGACGGCAGCCTCGTACTTGGGGGTGGACGACACGTAGTTGTATTGGAAGGGCGCTGGCGTGGACGAGACGGTTGCCTCGTACTTGGGCGTGGACGACACGTAGTTGTACTGCTGGTATTGGATGGGGGCAGGGGCGGGCGTGGACGACACGACGGCAGCCTGGTACTTCGGGGTGGACGACACGTAGTTGAACTGGAAGGGCGCGGGCGTGGACGACACCCTGATGCCCGCCGTGCTCTGGCTGCACGTCGTGCAGGGCACCGGCGTCACGGGCTCCTTATCGTCGACGTAGGTGTACGAGTGCAGCAGCGGCATCTTGCTGATGCTCACGGCCGGCGTGGCCGCGGTAGTGGACACGAACGGGTACAGCTTGGGGGTCACGTTGAGCTGCACGGCCTTGACGGCCTGCTGGCGAATGGGGAAGCTGGACGGGGTGCTGTACGAGTACACCACCTCCTGGGCCTTGACGGCCACGCCGGACACGGACGGCTGCTCCACGTGCACCTGCTGCACCTGCTGCACCTGCTGCACGTCCTGCTGGTACTGCTGGGACTGGAACTCCAGCTTGGCGTTGGGCTGCACCTGCTGGTACTGCACCACGGGCTGGACAGTCTTGACCTCCTGGCGGTACTGTTGGTACTGCGCGGCGGGGGCCTGGTACTGCACCTTGGTGACGGGGACCACAGGCTGAACCTGCTTGACTTGCTGGTACTGCACGGCAGACTCGTACTTCGGCGTCGATGAAACGTAGGTCTGCTGGTACTGGACGTTGGTGACGGGGACCACAGGCTGAACCTGCTTAACTTCCTGCTGGTACTCCTGCTGATATTCTTGCTGGTACTGCTGGTACTGCACGGCGGGGGCTTGGTACTGGACCTTGGTGACGGGCACGACAGGCTGGACCTTCTTGATCTCCTGCTGGTACTGGACAACGGGCACGACAGGCTGCACTTGCTTAACTTCCTGCTGATACTGCTGGTACTGGACGGCGGGGGCTTGGTACTGCACCTTGGTGACGGGCACCACAGGCTGAACCTGCTTGACCTGTTGATACTCCTGCTGGTATTGCACAGACTCATACTTGGGCGTAGACGAAACGTAGTTGTACTGTTGCTGGTACTGGACGGCGGGCGCTTGGTACTGGACTTTGGTGACGGGCACCACAGGCTGGACCTGCTTGACCTGTTGATACTCCTGCTGGTACTGCACAGCAGACTCGTACTTGGGCGTAGACGAAACGTAGTTGTACTGCTGCTGGTACTGGACGGCGGGAGCTTGGTATTGAACCTTGGTGACGGGCACCACAGGCTTGACCTCCTGCTGGTACTGGACGACGGGCACAACGGGCTGAACCTGTTTCACTTCCTCCGTGTACTGCTTGTAGTTCTGCAGTTGCTGGTATTGCAGGGCCGGCGTTTTGTATTCGAACTTGGTGACGGGCTGCACGGTCTTCACCTCCTGCTGGTACTGCAGGACGGGCGCCTGGTAGGTGACGGACGGCTGCACCACCTGCTTGACCTGCTGCTGGTACTGCACGACGGGGACCACAGGCTGCACCTGTTTTACCTCCTGACGATACTGCGCGATCTGCGGCACTGGGGTGACGGAGTGCACCTGCTGCACCTGCTGCACCTGCTCGTACTGCTGCTGGTACTGGGCGGCGGGGGCTTGATACTCGACCTTGGTGACGGGCACCACCGGTTGGACCTGCTTCACTTCCTGCTGGTAACCCTGCTGATATTGCACAGCAGACTCGTACTTGGGCGTAGACGACACGAAGTTGTATTGCTGCTGGTACTGGACGGCGGGCGCTTGGTACTCGACCTTGGTGACAGGCACTACGGGTTGAACCTGCTTCACTTCCTGCTGGTACTGTTGGTACTGGACGGCAGGGGCTTGGTACTCGACCTTGGTGACGGGCACCACGGGTTGAACCTGCTTCACTTCCTGCTGGTACTGCTGGTACTGCACTGCGGGAGCCTGGTATTCCACTTTGGTGACGGGCACCACGGGCTGCACTTGTTGGTAGGTCTGAACCTGGCCCTGCTGCTGGTTGTAGCTCTTGTAGTCCTGGTAGTAGCCGTTGGGCTCCTGCTTGATGTCCACGATGCGGTGGTACTTGACGTCCTTGAGGGAGAAGGGTGCCGGCGAGCTGTACGAGTACTGCACGCTGTGGTCGACGGCCGCGGGCGAGACGGAGTGCTGCTGGTAGCCGACGATGGCGGGCGCGGGGGTCGGCGAGACGTAAGACAGCGCGGGCGCCGGGGCGGGCGTCTGCTGGCGGATGAAGGAGACGGCAGGGGCGGCGGTGACGGGCTGCACGGAGGGGCGAACCTCGTAGGCGGGCGTGACAGACACGAAGGCGGGGGAGGCCGTCGGCGTGTACGACTGCACCGACACGGCGGGGGCGGGCGTGGGAGTCACGGTCTGGAAGTGCACCAGGGGCTGCTTCACCTCGTACTTCTTGTACGTGTACAGGGTTGGCGCGGCGGGTGCTGCGGCCACGGGCGTCACGGCCTGCTGCTGCTGTTGCTTGACGTTGAACACAGACTGGTAGCTAACCAGGGATGGCGGCGCTGGCGTGACGGTGGGTACGGCCACCAGAGGCTGCTGCAGCTCGAACTGCTTGTACTGGACGGCGGCGGCGGCGGGGGCCACGGACTGGTATCCCACGACACCGGGCGCTGCCGACACGGTCTGCGTCAACGTCTGGTAGCTCTGGCCGGAGGCCACAGCTGGGGCGGGCGTCGAGGACACGATGATGGGGGCGGGCGTCACGGAGTACGTGGCGGTGGGCGCGACTGAGGACACGGTGGTGAAGCCGGAGGTGGAGCCGCCCGCGCTGGAGTAGCCGGACGAGCCGTCCGAGTCGATTTGCACGCCCTGGACGGACTGCAGCGCCGCGCCGGAGTCCACGGCCAGGGTGGACACCGTGGAGCCGGTCAGGTCGATGCCGGAAGTGCTGTAGCTGCCGGAGCCCAAGTCATAGCTCTGCGACGCTCCGGCCGAGGTGCCCGCGGACGAGCCGAACGAGTAGCCCGCCGTGGTCTGCTGGGCCGCGCCGGACGAGCCGGAGTACCCCGAGTAGCCGTTCAAGGAGCCCGACGAGACGGCGGCCTGCTTGGCGCCGAAGGAAGAGGATCCGGCGTTGTAGTCGAAGCCGCCAGAGGCCACCGTCTGCTTGGCGCCGAAGGAAGAGGATCCGGCGTTGTAGTCGAAGCCGCCAGAGGCTACCGTCTGCTTGGCGCCGAAGGAAGAGGATCCGGCGTTGTAGCCAGCAGTGGAGCCTGAGTCGAAGCTGGAGCCGGAGTAGCCTGAGGTGTAGCCTGAGCTGGAGCCAGAGCTTGAGCCGGAAGAGTATCCCGTCGCACGCTGGCTGTCATAGGCCGAGGACCCGGCACTCACGGTGGAGCCTGTGTCATGGAACAAAAATCAAAGTCAGTGTAGAAAATTTGGGAAAATTGTCAGTGAACGAGGACTCCGAACTTTATCTTTTTAGGGCGTTAAGACTGTACTTACCGTAGCTTCCTGAGCTGGCGTCACCAGCCTGGTAAGCGTATCCGGCCTGGACGCCCTGGACGCCCTGGATGCCCTGCAGGGTGTGCAGGTTGGAGCCGAGCACCACGCCGCTGGAACCCTGGGTGCGTCCGCCAGACACCTGCGCGGCGGGGAACGTCGCGAAGCCTCCGTAGCCGCGATCTTCGTAGCGGGAAGCGTCCTGCGCCTGCTGCAGCGCGATGTAGCCGTTGTTGGAGCCGTACCTGCCCGACGAGGCCAGGTTGGAGTTGACCTCGGCGGCGAGGGACGCGGCGCCGCCAGCGGCCTGGTACGCGGAGGCCCCTGCACCGTTGTAAGCGTAGCCAGACGCGCCGGAGGCACCGGCGCGGCCGGCGTAGGACGCCGACTGGAAGGACGCGTCCGCCACGTTGTAGACGCCGGCGACGCCAGAGGCCCCGGACGCGCCGGACGCGCCGGAGTACAGGCTGTTACCGACGACGCCGCCGTTGGCGTACGCCGCGTTGCCGTCGAAGCCCGCGCTCAGCAGGCTCAGGCCCTCGTAGTTGACCTCAGCGCCGGCACCGGCACCCGCCACGCGCACGCCTTGGAAACGCAGCGAGGAGGCGCCCGAGTTGCCACAGCCGCTGACCTTCCAGGGCCAGTCGCAGACCTGGTTCTGCTCGTCGAACACCAGCCCGAACGGGCACCGGAACTCGTAGGCGGTGAGCGCCTGGCCGTCGCGGCTGTGGTCCAGGCACGCGAAGAACCAGCGGCAGTTCTCGGGGTCCGCGTAGTAGCCCTCGACCTGCCCAACACAAAACAAAAGCCAATCACAGGGGGCGTTTCCAAGGCGTTCGGCAGCCGGCACTAACTGGCATTGGACTTACGTTGGGGCAGCCATACTGGGCGCGCGGCACGGGGGCGATCTCACTGGAACCCTCGCAGCTGGAGCCCTTGGCAAGGGACCCGGGCCACACGCACACCTCCACCGTCTCGTCGAACACGGTGCCGGGGGCGCAGTCGAACTCGAACACGGTGAACTCGGAGGAGAGCTGGTTGAACTTGACGCAGCGGTAGAACCTGCGGCACCACACGGCGTCCGTTGAACCTCGAGCGGCGTCGCGTACATTCACTGTGTACCGTACTCAAACAATTCAATAAAAGTTTGTTTTTGAAGCGCACCTGTTGCAGCCGCGGGGGTGGCGGAAGTAGCCCTGGCGGGTGCAGGTGAACTCGGTCTCGGCGCTGCGACGCACCACGTGCACGGCGCCCTCGCGGTCCACCACGCGGACGATCTGGTACGGGGACAGCTGCACGGGGCCTGCGCAGAACGGCCTCAGAGTCAGCGGCGCCAGCTCCATTGCCACGGACAGTGGAAAAGGGCGAAAAGAAGAGCACGTCGGCTACTTGCCAGTGTAGTCGCTGTACTGCACGGCGTGCTGGTGGATGTCCTCCTCGAGGGAGGAGAGCAGCGCGGCCCTGGAGCGGCGGGCGGACTCGGCGAGGCCCTTGAAGGCCGTCTCCAGGAGCGTCATGGGCATGGGCTTGGCCTCGACCTTCTTCTTGTCCTTTTTGGCGTTCTTCTGGTCGTTCTTCTTGTCCTCGTCGTCGTGGCTGTCGCCGCGGTAGCTGCCGTCGTCGCCGTCAGCACCGGCCACCTGACCTTCGTCGGAGCGCGCGGAGGCTGCCTTGTCGTCGGCATCCTGGTCGTCGTCCTCGTCCTCGTCCTGGACGGGGGCCTTGCAAGACGTCTGCAGCCAGTCCTCCTCGTCCACGGACTGCACGGCCAGACCGGCGAGGTCCCGCAGAAGGACGTATTTGGCCTGGAAGGGGCGAGGAAGAATGTCAGAATAATGTCCACACGGGACTCCGCAGCGACAAGCACCCTGCCTACCTTGATGTTGACGGACATGTGGTCCTCGAAGGCGATCCAGGAGCTGTTCTTGAAGACGTAGGGCGCGGTCAGGTCCTGGTCTCGTTCCAGGGACCAGCCACCCTCTGACATAAGCGCGCACAGCTAGAAACAAAATTAGCGTGTTTTATTTTTACATAACAAATTTATCTTTCTAAAAAAAAAAAAAAAAACAGAGGCCAGGGCTAGAACTTAAGGTGGCTAGAATAAGTCCTACCACAGTTAAAAATTTTAATTAACTATTAAGTGAAACCACACTGTAAAGGTTAATCAAACAAAACACACAGAAGCACGGATTGGGCTGGGCAGGCGGCAGCCAGCCGTAGCTTGGTGGTGATTCCGAGATTCCGAGCTACTTTGTAATGGTGTGTGTGTGTAGCCGCGCGTTATGCTAATGGCCAGCCTATCAACTCGCACTTGATCCATTCCGCCCGCTTCCTAATGGCCCAGCCAGCTGAGGCAATAGCTCAATCGGCGCGAGGCACGCGAGACACGCGAGACAGCGAGACCCAGACACGCGACAGGACGGAGCCACACGCGAGACAACACGCAGACACGCGACACCGAGCCCCGCCGCGGACAGCCGGCCCCGAGCGCGGGCGTCCCTCAGCGGGAAACCCCTCGCGCGAGGCGGCGGGGGCGTGTCGCGAGTCTCGTCCTTGAGGGTGAAGCGCAGGGCGAAGGCGGGCAGGGACACGATGATCTGCTGCTTGGGGGCGCCCAGGCCCGTCAGCAGGTCCACCATGGAGTCCTAGGGTAGCCGGCAGAAATACAAAGTTTCCGAATAAAAATATTTTTTTTTTAAAAATGAACGCAACTGATTTTTTGCATTGATGGAAATAAAAAGTTGCGCTTACCGTGTTGAGGAGGTCGTCCAGGCCCATGAGACGGCTGTGGTGGAAGGTGAGGCCGCTCTCCGACTCGTCCGTCAGGTTGTGGGAAGGCAGGATAAACCAGTCCACCTGCCTGCACAACGCCAAGCAGACACTCAGCCATTTGTCACCACAAGCGCACTGTTTCTAACGCTTCAAGCGCGCCGGCCGCGCCTTCAGGTTTGAGATAGACATCGTGAATCAAAGTTTATGGCCCGTAGCACGGTGACTCACTTGGCGAGGGCGCGCAGGTCGTAGTACTTGGCGATGATCTCCGGTTTGGTGGGCAGCTGCAGCAGCAGGATCCTGGTGGGCTCGTCGTCCTCGTCGTCCAGGTCGCCGTCCACCTCGGCGTACTGGCGCGCCAGGTCGCTGGCGGTGCTGCCTTCCGCCCGACTGGTCCTGGTGGACTTGGGTGTCGTGGCCGTGGGCAGAGTGGTCTCGGTGGTAACAGTCGTCTCCTGGAAAAAAATGCTATTTAAGCGCCTGCGAAGTGTCGGGTAGGCCGCGCCGCCAAACACGGGTGTTCGGCGGGCTGGCCCACCACTAAGGCGCCTGCCAAGTGGCGGGTAGGCCGCGCCGCCAAACACGGGTGTTCGGCGGGCTTGCCCACCTCGCGGGCGGCGACCAAGCCAAGACGTACCCGTTCGCCATCGTCGTCTGTGGCGGCAGTGTCGGTCTCCTTGGGGAAGGACACCGTCGGCTCGGTGGATTCGGTGGCGTCCGTGTCGGCGGCCGTGTCAGCATCCGTGTCGGCCGTCGACGCCTCCGTCGTGGTCATGGACTTGGTGGTCCTGCTCGGGAGCAAGGCCAACGTGAGGTTAGGGAGATTATCCACGGCGAAAAATGTAACGCAACACTCTTAAAGAGAAGGTTGACTAATCCGAGCGCGGGGCCGGCTACAACACGGCGTTTTGCGCTGGGCGTGCGTTAGGGACTACTCCATCTGCCCGCGGTGGTTTAGCGTGACCGGTCGTCACTGCGCCCTGGACGCATGCATGTGGCATTGTGACGACAGTGGCACCACACGGCCGTACGCGGCTACGCGGCCGGCAACAGCTTGATTATGCCATGAGAATCAAAGGTTCGCGCGAAACTCCGAACTCCGAGCCCGAGGGGGTCGGGGTTTTGGGTAGGGTGGGAGTGGGTCGCGGCGGGCTCAGGCCTGGCGGCCAGGGCTTTTGGGCGCGGCTAGCGCGGCGCAGGGCTGCCAACGCCCGTCCGCTGCAGGCTTGCTGCAGTCCACCGTCGGGCGGCCGGGCGGCCGTCTAGTGCGTCAGTCTGTGATGAAAGAATTACAGAGCCGTGAAAGAAAAAAACAAGACGCAGGAGGCGATGAAGAGGTCGATGAAGGAGGCGGGGCGCGGTGGCCGCGGGATGAGGCCCCGTACAGATGCACGTCGTTTTTTTTTTGTGATTGTCGTTCATGTGATCTCACCGTTGTCGTATATCAAACTACTTGCTGTACACTGTACACAGCGCAGGCAACTACATGTTAGACGAGCAAGTCGTGAAAGTGGAATGAGACTCAAGGCGAAGCGACGTGCGAGGCGGAGACACAGGGGAAGCAGGCAACTACACTACGAAGACCAGACGGAGGAGGTGAACGTCAGGTGAAGGAGACAGCCAGATTGTTCTCATAAAACGTCACAATTAAGAAGAGACACATTTTTAAAGATGTGAAATTGTTATGAGATTGATTTGAGAAGTAAAACCTGCAGCGGCTATGACGGCACGGTCAAGGCCGCTCGGCTGGCTTGGACGGGAATGACAGTGAGGGTGAAAGTGGTGCGGGTCGGTCTGGTCGGGCGTGGCGGGGCGGGTTTGCAATGGCAGGGCGTGGCAGGGCGTGGCAGGGCGTGCCACTCGTGCAGGCGGGCCCAGCCGCCGGACTTGCCGCTCCCGCTGCAGCCGCTGCAGCGCGTGCTGGGGGTGGGGGTGGGTCGCGTCGGTCACGCCGGTCGCGCCTGGCGTCCCCCGGGGGCGGTGCCGCCGCAGCGCCGCCCCCTGCGCCGCCCCCAGGGCCGGCGAGCCGCTCAGGGTCCTCCCCGGGGGGCGGGGCTGCCGGGAGGACTCCGCGGCGCCCCTGGCAGACAGGCCCGTCCTGCTCCTGGTCGCTGGGGCCCTCATGGTGACCGTCATGGTGGTGGTGCTGGGGGTGGGGGGAGGGGTGGGCCGCCTCCGCGCGGCCAGGGTGGGCCGCCAGGACGGCGTCGTCTCGTCCTCCACTTGCCTCTCAAAGATCTCGTAGTCCCGCTTGGCGCGGCGGCGATCCACGGCGTCGGCGGAGTCCAGCTGGAAGCGCACCGCCTGCGGGAGGAAATAGACGCGCCCCGTTAGCCATGTGGTCCTAGGCGTTGCACTCTGCTCTGGAGTCACGGGTTCAAATCCCACTGTGACTCTTTTTTTTTCAAGCATTACCTTGATGAAGGCGGTGAGGTGGGTCTTGTTGGCGCTGCCGTGGTGGGACCAGTCGACGGCCAGCTCGACGCCGTCCACGGTGGCCTTCCTGAGCGCGGCGGTGACCGCCTGGGACGCGCGCAGCCGGCGGTCCTCGCTCTTGAGCTGCGCCGCCCCCACCGGCAGCTGCAGCACCGCGCGCACCCACGGGTTGCGCTTCCTCAGCGCGCGCAGCTGGCTGCGGACGCCTGCAACAGCGCCGAAAACGGAAGTCGGTGAGCAATCAGACTAAAGGCGGTTCATTTCAAACCAATGAACCCGGCGGGCAGGCCTCTCAGGCCAAGTACATCTCGCCGGTTAGTTAGACCGCGGCCACGCGGCGAAAGGGGAGGCACGGCGTCGTCATTGTCCAAAGGCGGCTGGCCGCAGTAATTCGATTGATCGTTTTGGATTAGCGGGCCAAGCGGGCCGGGCCGGCCAGGCCGAGGCGGTCGCTTTGTCTTTGTCATTCAGGTGCCGGCGCTGACCGTGATCCAGTTCCAGCCCGGCCCAGCCGCCACACGACTGGCGCGTGTCAATGAGCCGCGGCTGTCATCGCTCTGTCTCCCTCGCACTCACGGCGCGCCCCGCAGAGGTGCGAGGGAGACAGAGCGACGAGACGCTGCATTCGGAACAAGCTCACAGGCGGCATGACGTGCCAGTGTAGGCCCGCAAAACGTCAAACGACACCCGTGTCAAACGCTCGTCACGCTAATGACCCTCGGGTCAACATACTGCGAAAAAAAAATCCTCAGCGGTACTCGAACTTACGACCGCTGCTCCTGTCACAAAAGAACAAAAAACAAAAACACGACACCCACACACTGCAAGCCGGCCTCATGGTACGGCCAAGACTTTTCGCGCCGCTGACCTTATTGCACGCATGGTTTATCGCTACTGGAGGGAAGGGAAGAAATAAACACACCTCCGGCACGAAAAAAACTAAACAACAACAACAATAACCAACGATCGCGACGACTGCGTTCGATTTCCTGCCTCAGAATGCCAAAGCAGAATGCGGTGAGCATCGGGCAGGCGGCGGGGCCCCGAGTCATGCGTGTCATCCTTCCCACGGCACGGCAGCACGGCAGCGCCGCAGCGCCGCCTGGCATTTCGAGGACCATTACCAAGAGGGGCGATACCGCGCCGTGCCGCGCCGTGCCGCGCCGCGCCGTGCCCGGCCGCGGCCTTGAGGGCGCAGGTCGTTTTGTGGATCACTCCAGATCCGATTCCGGTCGAGAAGGCGGATGCTAAGAGCAACCAGGTCAGGGTTTGGGGGAGGGGGCAGCACTGTCCAGTACGCGCCAACCCGTGAGCATATCCTGCTGCTGCGCGCCCCGCACCGCGCCGCTCTATTTGCATCAGGTCTTCCCCGTCGCGCCGTCGCACTGGACCGCGTCCTCCCGCTGCGCCGGTCGACGCCGTCGCCCCCAAGGTCCCCGTCCTCGGCGAGACGTCCTCCCGAAGCCGGCCGCCTTGGCCAGCGCGGCCAGCGCGGCCAGCGCGCCGAACGGCGGCGGAATGCATCCCGATGCACGCGACGCGAATGCGTGCGGCTCGGAGCGCTGCTGCGATGCAGGCTGCAGGCCAACGTGTGACAAGCAAGCCAAGGGGCTGGCTGGCTGTCCGCGCGGATCCAGCTCGCAGCTCGCGTAGTTGAGTCCTTTATTTTTGTTTTTGTTTTTGTCGCAGTGCCACCGCGACGACGCGCAACCGCCTTTATTCGTTGCGTGCATCTTTTAGGGCTCCATTGTCCGCGTCGTCGTCCTCGGCGGCGTCCTGGCGTGGGCGCGCGGCGGCAGGGCGGCGTGCGCGACGCCGGGGGACTTGAACGCGCGGGCCGCGGCCGAGTTTCCAGAATCCGACTTTCCAGGAGAACACGGCTATCTCCATCTTGAGGCTGAACGGTGATCCTGGTCCCGCCCGGCCGACCGCCAGCACCGCCAGCCCGGCCCACGTGCCTGCCGCTTCCAGCCTGCCAGTGTGTGCGCTCGCGACACGTGTTGCAAAATTTGACCTGTCAAACTGGTCCACGCGGAGAGGGGGGAGCCCCGCCCGGTTGGTGCTGGGGCCCGTAGCGCCCCGCCGCGCGGCGAGCACCAATTGGGGTGTATGGAAATGTACCCCGCGAGCGAAGGCATCCCTCGATGGGACGCGTTAGCGAGCACTTATCCTGCCATGGTAATGTGTCACCCGTGCCGGCCCGGCCCTCTCTCGATGTTGCCAACTCACGCCCGCGAGAAACGCGCGCGCGTGTGTGTGCGTGTGTGTGTCAGCCTGTTACGGCCTTGCCGCGGGCGCAGATGGCTTTTCGGGGCGCCTAGTCCGGCCTAGTCGGTGTAGTCTGTCGACAGGTGATGTTTTCAGTGGCGCGCGCCGCTCCGTTCGGTGGCGGATGGAATCCGTCAGAGAGATGAGTGGTGGCGGTCGGACCGGCAATTACGGGATTGATTTGGACGGGCGAGCTCGGCGTCAAGGCCGCGGACACCGCCTGCCGGGCCTGCCGCCTGCATGCTGCCTGCTCGGTGCACTGCACCGCGTCCAGGCCGGGCGCCCCCGCCGAGTGCAGGGCGGGCCGCCCCGCGACGCACCGGACGGATAGCGGCGGTGAGGAGAGGTTTTTCAAATGGTGCCCAAACGATGACTGTAAATTGTTGAACACGCTCGCACACACACGCACGCGCGCGCGCGGTGGATGTGAGTTGCGGCCGCAGACGCACTCATACGTAGACCGGCGTAACGTTACGTCAGGCGGCAGGCTCCCTCGGTGCGCCCAGATTGGGTGCCGCCCCGCCCCGCCCCGCCCCGCCCCACACTCACATTGTGGTCTTGTCAAACGTCGCGGGCCTCATGCGGGGCCCAACAAGGGCGGCCGGAATTATTGTTGGACTATTAAAAGAAAGTCACCGCAAAAAAAAAAAAGCCGAAGAGAGGAATTTGAGAAAACAAAATCGACAGCGAAGCGAAGGAAACGTGGCGGCCACTATCATGGGCCCGGCCGGCCGGCCGGCGGATTTGGCAGAGGTCATCGGATTGATGCCACGGCACGGCAGATTTCCTTGGACCGGCATGTCGCCTCCAAAAGAGTGGCGGGCGTGGGCAGATGACGTGCCTCGCGCGAGAAACACGGCGGTGCCGGCGTCGCTCTGTCTCTCTCGCACTCCTTGGGGCGCTTCACAAAGGGGTGCGAGCGAGACAGAGTGACGACGCACTGTTCGGAATGAACGGCTGGCTCTGCTGCCAAGCAGTGATATCACCGCCCTCCGCGACGCGACGCGACTCCCGGTGCCCACGGCCCGGCCCGGCCGGACGCGTCGACATCCTGCTCGCCCGGCTTTTGGTATTTTCAATGAAATTATTTTGGCGCGGAAACCGTGCGCCGCGACCTGTGACCCCGCCGGCCCGACCCGACACCGGCCAGCCTTGGCCTTGGGGGACACGGACACCTCGGCGACGACGTCGACGCGCTGCTCCACCGAAAACAAGGCGCGCCACGCGGCGGCACTAGAACTCGGCGCGGCCTCCTGAAATAGTCCAGCGGGTCCAGGAAGCCCCTCGAGAGTCCGTCTGCCTCTCTGTCTCTCTCTTACTCACTCTCTCATCCCGGCGGCCCCACCGGGCCCCACGCCGCGACGGCGTTGCCTTGACGAACGACGCCCGTCCGCCGAGTTATTTCCCTCCTTTGACTCCAGAAATAAAACGACGAATGCGCGACACGCGAGGCACTTACCGATGTCCACGGCGTAGCCGTCGCCCGCCTTGGTGGCGACGTCGGTGAACACGATGCTGGTGCACAGGCAGGCGTCCACGCGCGTCACGGGGGTGCGGCCCTCGTAGTAGCACACCAGCTCCTTGGTGGGCGGCTCGGGGCAGGCGGCTGCAGCGGGAAGCAGAAAGCACACATTATTACTTGCCCTTCTTTTTCGCAGTGTGGCGGCAAATTGGATGTGTAAATGGACCGGCCGACTCCGATGATGAATCGAGAGTAAAGCCGGCGAGTGTATTTGCCTCATTAGGATGGAGGGTGGCCGCCTGGGCGACCCGGCCTGCCTCGGATTAATTGCGAGACATAGCGCTAGCGCTCGGCGGGGGACGGTGCTGACTCACCTCGGACACACACGCACACGCACACACACTCACAGACAGACACACACCCTCACAGGGTTAGTACAGGCCCGCGGACTGCACCGCGCCCAATGGGAGTTGAACCGGTTCCCACGGCGTACTTGGCGCTTCGCGCTTCGCTCTCGGGGCAGTCTTGGAGTCTTACCGCTGTCGGCGACGTCGGCGGCCTCGGACGCGGCGGCGGCCGCGCAGCCCCCGCACAGCGCGAGGAGGAGCAGGCTGAGTCCTAGCCTAGGCGCGGGGCCTAGGCCGCCAGCCCGACCCCTCAAGGGGGCCATCTCTCTCTCTGCAACAAGGAGAAAAACGGTCAAAGTCAAAAGCAAAAACAAAAAAAAAAACTAGAACGTGTCCCCGAAACGTCAGCGTCCCTGACATCGGCGTTGTCTTAGCAGGAAGCAGCAGTCTTATCTCCTCACTCCAATGCCACACATTCGGTCTAAGTTCAATTTTTTCCGGTATTTTTTTTTTCCAATACAGCGCAAGGCTGTGACGGCCTTGTCGCGCCGCGGCGTTGACGCGTTGACACACTGGCCGCTGATTCGGCCTGGAAGGCCTGGAAGGCTTGGAAGGCTTGGAATGGCGGGCATTAACCATTGTGGTTCGGATCTAATTAAAGGCGACAAAAGGCTAGACCCCCCCCTTCCCCCTCCCCCATTCCCCTGAGCCAGGCGTTATAACGGCGCTAGTAACAGCAACGCGCACACACACGCACACACCTGCACCTGCAACGCGCCGCTTGGCCGCCTGCGCAGCCCCCTGCTCCTTCTCCAAGACGCAGGTTCACGCGAAAATAAAAAGAACAACTCCTTCGCTTGTAAACTTCCGCCCGGATGACGTCGCTCTGCCCCTCGAGCCTCGGGGCGTTTCCAAGGGGGTTCGCGATCGCAGGCTGTTGTCGTCGGGGACGCATTTTTTGGACGCTCTCCGCCGAGGGCATAAAGTTACGTCGCAATGAAGGAAATTGAATTATAAGACGACGAGGGTTATTTTGCCGCCGCACGTTGGCTCGGTTGCCAACCGGAGCCGCCGGCTGGCATTCCCGTCGTCCGAGTGACCCTCTTGTGACCGCCCCACCCCGCGAGTCTCAAGGTCACCCGGGGAACGCCCAGGGAAGTGGCGTTCGCCGCATCCTTTTCGTTGTTTTTTTTTTGCGATTTCTGAAATATGTTTTCCAACAGTGTACGCATGCAAACATCGCCGTGCAACACAGCGTGTCACCATGGGGGATCGGGGAGATGGAGCCAGCAGCGGCAGCCAGGTCGTCGTCGTCATCGGGGGTCAGCTTCGGCTTCGCACAATGCACGCGCGGTGCCAGCCACTACACTATGCAGTATGCAGCGTATGCAGCGTTTGCCGTTGCAGCACGCCACCCATCGCGGGGCACGCAGAGAGCGCCAACCACGCAACGCCAGCGAAAGGATTTTAAAAAAAGAAAAAATGAGAAAGAATTAAATTTCCTAAACAAATAAATGTTTTAAAAATTGGTAGGTGAAAATCATCGGCGTACGCATTGCCGGACGCAAACGCTTGATTGAAACGGAGCGTAATGGCGAGGGCATTCAGCGAGGGCAGGCTGGAGGCTAGGCGGATGGGGAGGGGGGGGGGCGCCGCCTTGTCTGCCGTCGCTAGGCCTGACAGCCAATAAGAGTCGAGCCCACCTGTCCTGTCACACGCCGTCAAGCATTGCGCAACCCTAACGGACCTAACGAGATGCAGATCAACATTTATTTTGGGGTTAGGTCATGCGGCAAGGGCCCCGCCCCGCCCCGCCCCGCCACGCCACGCCACGCCACGCCAAGGCGCGCCCCACAGCGAGCGTAAAGAGAAAAGGGGGGGGGGGGCACACGACGGTATCCATTGCGATTGTGATTGATAGCGACTTTGTCCCGGGCATGAGACAACACAACAACAACTGCACCACCACCTCGGTTGCTTGCAAATCGGCGCGTTTCTTTGTGTCCTCTTTTTTTTTTCGCTCGTTCCCTCTCTGTCTTGTCACCATTTCGCTGTCGTTGCCTCCAAAGCTCGCGCCGCGCGTCGCGAGGCGGTGGCGGCGGACGTGGGACGGTCCTGGCGCGGGTGCAGCCCAGGCAGGCAGCCCGGCCGGTCCGGAGCGTCGTTCCGCCTCGTCGTCTCTCTCGCTCGCACCCCCTGGGTCCATCGGGCCGCCCCGTGAGTGCGACAGAGACGGCGCGACGAAGGCTCCCCGGAATCGTCCTGCCGAAGCACAATGCGCGCCTTGCCGCGTAGCCACGTTGCCGCACCGGCCATGGAGATGTCAACTTTGGGATTCAATAACTCGGGCGGTGGTCTCATTCCAGACAGTGGTCTCGCTGCTGTCTCTCTCGCACCCCTACGGAGCGCACCGCGAGTGTGAGAAGGGAAGGACATGGCCGTGTTGACCCGCGCCGTACCGCCAGGGCGCAGCGCCCGGAGCACGCGAAGCAGGCCTTGCCCAAGCAGGAAGCCCCGGGCCGGCCGTCCAGGCCCGGCTGCTCCGCGCCCCGCCTGCCTTGGCTGCCTGCACTCGTTTCGCACGGCCCAATAAAGACGCTGTTAGTCGCTGTTGGCGCTGTTCGCGGTGCTCGCGGTGTTCACACCCCCCGCGGCGATGTTCCGCGGCTCACACCTCCGCGTTTCCAAACACCGCGCGTTACGCCGCGACCTCCTCGGCTACCTCCTCTCCTCGCTGGACCTCAGTTCACACAACGCCCCATTTATCAGGCGCTGTTATTCCCCAGCTCATCGAGGGCACGGGTCCGGTCGAGCGATTCCGTCGCTCTGTCTCTCTCGCACCCGTTCGGGGCGCGCTAGAGTGCGAGAGAGACAGAGCGACGATTCGGAGTGAGCGCGCTGGTCGCCTGTCGCGCCGCCCACCTCGCTGGCACCGAGTCATTAGCAGGGAGTACAATAGGCGCGTGGTGCGACAGCGACAGCAGCGACAACGGGGACCTGGAGGCCGTCGGGGTCCCCAGTCCCCACGGCTGGCCCGGCTAGCCACCTGACCCAGGAGTGCAAACGGGCCTCAGTGTGCCAGAAGACCGGTAGAGACGGTTACTGGACGCGTTTTGAGCTCCAGAGTCGCTAATGGGACTCAAACTGAACGTGTGACCCCACCAATGATTGCACTCCGAACGAGGAATCCATCGGTGGGGTCACTCGCCCGGTTCGAGTCCTGTTTGGCGACTCTGGAGCTCAAAAGGCTTCGGTTTTGGCCGGTCTTCTGGCCCACTCTGCGGGCCGGCCGAAACAATAACAACAACAAAATCAAACCGGCAACAGCAACATGACGTGTGCACTGTGCGGTGCCGCGGTGCCGGAAGCGTGCCGCGGCCAACCCCAAATACGTCCCCGGCGTGGTGCTGGCCTGGCGCTGGCCTGGCGCTGGCCGGCGTGGCGGACAAAGCACCGCGCCCTCTGGCGGCCCGGCCGAGGCCCGGCCGTGTCGCAAGGCTCGTCAGCACACGGGCCATTGCCATTATGCGGCGCCGATGCGGGGCCGATGCGGGAGCGAGAGAGACAGACGGACAGTCTTTACAAGTTGCGAGAGAAAAAGACTCTGATTCTGGCGCTGTCATGGCGCGGCGCGGAGAGCAAGGGCCGCCGGGGGCTCTCTATGTAAAGAAAGGCATCGCGCCGGTGGGCGTGGACCGGCGAGGCACGGCCGGCACGGCATGGCGCCATCGGGACCCCGCCCCGCCCCGCCCCGCCTCGCCCCGCGCCGTGCCGCAGGCCGCATCACAGTCTCGACTTTTCCCACCAAATCGACCTCGCCGCCTTCTTGCGAGGAGAAGCTGTTACAGTTGTTCTGCAAGGCGCTGCCGCTTCCGGCTGCCTCTTTAGCGGTGTGCCCGCGGCGACACGCGACACGCGATGCAGTCATACAGTGCAGTAACCATTCAATGAGGCCGATCCGTTTTCAATCCGCCGCCGCGCCGCCGCGCTCTCTCCAGAACAATCGTCGCCTCGCCACTGTCATTACGGTACCGACGGCACTCGCTGTCTCCCTCGCACTCGAGGGGAGTCCCGCAGCGGTGGGAGAGAGGCAGCGCGACGACGGCACCGTTCGGCATCAGAGACTGCACCAAGTGGCGGCACGCCAATGCGAATGTGAATGTGTCGGGCACCGAGCCGCTTTGCCGCTGCCCCCGCGCACGCGGCGAGGCGACCGGCGCGGGGCGGGCCCACTGAACCACAATAATGCGCGTGGCACAGTACCAATTTTCGTCACGGCTACTTTCGGATTCGGATTCGCATTCGCATTCCCCGCCGCGGCCTCTTTGAATGGGCGCGCCTCCGCCCCGCCTCCGCCCCGCCTCCGCCTCTCGAACGCGGCGACGCGGCGGCGCGGCACGGCGCTACCCTATCTGGTGGTCAAGGCCGCCAGTATGTGAGTCACGCAGCCACGCCGCCGCGCCGCCACGCCGCGAGGTGGCGCTGCCCCCGCGAGCCGCGCAAGAACACATCCGCTTTTTGATGCACTATTGTCCGCGCGGACGGCCCGGCCCGGGACGGCCGCAGCCCGCAGCAGGCAGCCGCGGCCCGGCCGCCGAAACGGGGCCGGGAACCTCCCTAGCACCCCACTAGCACCTCGCCATCGGCACCTGGGAAGTAGGCTCGGTGACCTGCTAGTTCGACGGGCCCGAGGGAGCGCCTGCGAGGTAGGCTCCACCGCACGACTCCCGAGCTTAACGGGCCTGCCTGCGCGCACGGCGCTCCTCTACACTGTGAAACACCAAGCTCTGACGTTTGTGGCTGTGACGTGCGCGACGCGACCGTTGCCGCCGCTCTGCGCGCTAAGCGGCTTGACCTCAGCCCGCTACACCCGGTCTGGCCGCGCCGTGCAGCCGAACCGAACACGCCGAGTTGGACTTATTCATGCGGATGTTTCGGAGCGGGCCGAGGCGCGCCGAGGCAAAGGATGCCGGCGGCAAGGCCGTTGGGAA